CACCTCACTCTTCTAGCGGGTCAAACTTCACGAGTTGTTTTCCACAATTTTCGTCATAAAAACAAAACAAGCTGGCCTCCTGTCTGCGGCACTGTTTGCGGTCAGCTACAATTTGGGAGAGGTGCAGCGGAGCGTCTCTCAAGGGGGCGGTGACGTCTGGAGCAGAGGTATTGAATTGCACTCATTGCACTAATTTTTTGCAGTATTTTTTGATGCAACTTTTCTACTTCTGTTATTTGCTGTTGTTTCTAAAAAAAAAATGCATAACAATATTACAGCTTTCATTGATTTATTTCAAACTTGAAACTTTGTTTAGCCTGTAAGGTGTAAAAAAAATAATAAAAAATTAATCGAATCGCATCGTGATGAGTATCGAAAATAATCGAATCGTTGGGTCAGGAAATCGATACTGAATCGAATCGCCATGATGGGTGTGATTTACACCCCTAGATGGTACTCATCATTCTTCTTCCTCCGAAAATGGTTAGTGTAATAATGACCAAAACATTCTATTATGGTCTCATCTGACCACATGACTTTCTCCCATGACTCTTCAAACCATGACGTCTTAGAGCAGGCATCCCCAAACTCGGTCCTCGAGGGCTGCTGTCCTGCAGGTTTTAGAGGTTTCCCTGCTTTAGCACAGCTGATTATGATTATTGCAGTAGAGCAAAAGCCTGTTAATCAACTATCAATTAAAATCAGCTGTGCTGGAGCAGAGAACCATCTAAAACCTGCAGGACAGCGGCACTCGAGGACTGAGTTTGCGGATGCCTGTCTTAGAGTATTACCAATAGTAACCTAGGAAACGGTGGTCCTAGCTCTTTTCAGGTCATTGACCAGCTCCTCCCATGTAGTTCTGGGCTGATTTCTCACCTTTCTTAGGATCATTGAGTCCCCACGAGGTGAGGTCTTGCATGGAGCCCCAGTCTGAGTGACATTCATGTTTAGCTTCTTCCATTTTCTAATTATTGCTCCAACAGTGGACATTTTTTCTCTAAGCTGCTTGGAAATTTCCCTTTAGCTCTTTCCAGCTTTGTGGAGATGTACAATTTAGTCTCTAGTGTTTTTGGACAGCTCTTTGGTCTTGACCATGTTAGTAATTGGATTCTTACTGACTGTATGGGGTCGACAGGTGTCTTTATGCAACTAACAACCTGACACAGGTGCATCTAATTTAGGATGATAAATGGAGTGGAGGTGGACATTTTGAAGGCAAACTAACAGTTCTTTGAAGATCAGTATTCTAGCTGATAGACAGGTGTTGAAATAATCATTTGCAGCTGTATCATACAAACATGTAATTAAAATATCATACATTGTGATTTTTGGATTTTTTATATAAATATATTATTTGTCACACAGTGGACATGCACCCACAATGACAATTTCAGGCCCCTCCATGATTTTTGAGTGTGAGAACTTGCAAAATAGGAGGGTGTTCAAATATTTATTTTCCTCAAAGTAATTGGTCTGTGGATAAGTTAGCAAACAAATTCTTGTAAGAAAATGGAGCCACACCTAGAGAAAGACAGAAGATTAATGCTATATGTTGAGTGTTTTTAGTGAGACATTTTTATTGTAAACAGCAAATGGTTAAGAAAATTAGACTTTTTACATTAGCACGCATTAAAGAAAAAAAAAAATCCTGAGCCTGAACTTTTTTTTTGACACAGACTGCTAAGCTTTCCCTAAGCACAGTGTGCAGAAGCAAGCGCCTGGCTCACCTAACTTTCTGCACCAGCTGCTAAATGGCTTTCCATCTCGCCACATCTCTCCAATTTTACATATTTATTAATATTAATCAAAAATCAAGTGTTAAATCCATGAATGTGTCTCTTCCATTTCCTAAGATAAATCATATTACCGGTAATCAATCAATAGTGTATATTAGAGACATGTATAGATGAATGAAAAACAAGCTCTCAGGGCCAGGATAAAAATTATTTTTCCTTTAATAAAGTTATAGTGAAATCTATTACCTATTTTCCTTTCAGGTTTACATAGATACAGTTGTGCTTTTTGTTTTAAATATGCTGTTATTTCTTGCTAGGATGTAAATGTAAAGATTATATGATACTAGTTATTCCTGTTACAAAAATCCACAACAAAAAGAAAGTATTGTGGCAGAAACTGCACATAGGTTGGATGCTGACGGGGAGTTTTATAATATGTCATTTTAAATTAAGTGTTCATTTCCACATGTTTTGCTCCTATGAATTTAATAATATAGCCAATGCTCTCCTCGATCTCCAAGGAAGTCGCAACGCAGCAAGACGGGAGGAATAGTGGAGGCTGTAGGCTTTGCTTTGTGCAGGAGGTCTAGAGCAGAGCGGGGCGGTGACAGAGGATATGGGATTTCGGGGTAACAGGGTAGCTGCGTCCAGCCGGCTGTGATAAAGAATTTCCTCGTCTGTTTTAAAACTGGTGCACTCTGTTACTCATCTATACGTTAACAGCTGTTTCTGTGTGCAGCATGCTCGCGTGCTTTTTCTACCATAACAGTTTATAAGCAACATTTCCCCTCATTCATAAAACAATAAAATCAAGGATATTTCCGGGGACAGCTTTAGCTGGGGACAGGTGTTCCAAAACAGGGACTGTACCTGGAAATCGGGGACTTCTGGTCACCCTAACCCAGGGGCAATCGCTACGAGCCGGAAATCCGGCATGGGGCTGGAATACTTTAATCCCTACATTAGTATACTCTAATAAAACTAAGCGATGAATTATGCCTTGTTGTTGCATCAGGTTAAAATACCTCACTACACATTCACTTTTATCTTTGCAGTCAATCATAGAGAGCTGCATGAACTCCGAAGCAGATAAATATCAACCCATTAAGCATGTTTAAAAGCAAATTTGTCTTATTGGTGATGTAAGGTTTGGCTCAACTACTTAAAGACTTCTTAAAGAACTCTCAAACTGTACTATGAAAATGTAGACTCAAAAAAGTCGATCATATTGATTTGCACTTTAGACGTTATTAAAAAACTAATTCATTTGATTTTAGATGTATATAATTGACAAATAATTTTTTAGCTTTTTCATCATCTCTTCATTTCCTGCAGCATCTGAAGACACTGAGGCACCCGTGTCTGCTGCGATTCCTGTCCTGCTCGGTGCAGGACGGCGGCATCCACCTGGTAACGGAACATGTGCAGCCTCTGGAGCTGCTATTGGACAGCCTGTCCCCAGAGGAAATCTGCGCTGGCATCTACGACATCCTGCAGGCACTCGTCTTTCTGCATGAGAGGGTAAGCAAGAAGAGGCTTGACTTAATGGCTACGTTCACACTGCAGGCCTTAATGCTCAATTCCGATTTTTTTGTGAAATCGGATTTTTTTGCATGTCCGTTCACACTTCCAAGTATATGCGACTTGTATGTGGTCTACTGTGTGAACTGAAAGCGTTCAACCGAAGTGTCCCGCATGCGCACTCGAGGACGCGATGACGTCACATGTAGCAAGCGTCCTCAGTGTTTGCGGAAGTAAACATGACTCGTAATACTGCAGCGTATATTGCGTTCTTTAAGTTCTTCTCCAACAGGAGCAGGCACATTACGAATGAAATCTTTTTAAGAAGATCAAAAAGAAAGAGAGCCAGATTTCTTGCAATGGCGTTTTGTGGGGCAGTAATAGCAACGTCCGTACAGAGCTCTCACTTTCTCTCCATTGACTGCTCTCTGTGTTATCTTCCGCCATGGTTGTTAGTTTTTCCCACCTCCGCTTAGTAGGACGCAGATTAGTAACGTTTAGTAACATTTGTCAAGTATCAATGACGTGTAGGTCGGATGAATGCGACCTGGCCGTACAGACACAGGTCGCATTTGAAAAGATCAGATACGTATCGGATTCAGGACCACATATCCAAGTGGCCTGGGTCGCATTTGAAAAAATCCGATCTGTGTCGTTCAGACTGTCATAAAAAGATCAGATACAGGTCACATATGGGCAAAAAAATCGGAATTGGGTCACTTCAGGCTGCAGTGTGAACGTAGCCAATGTTGCCTGCTTGCTGTTTCCTATCAACTGCTCTGTGTGTTAAGCCTTGATGCCTCTCATCCACCAGGGTAAATCGAGCCACAACAACGTCTGCATTTCATCCGTGTTTGTCAGTGAAGATGGTCACTGGAAGCTGGGAGGAATGGAGACCGTATGCAAGTTCTCTGAAGCAACACCAGAGGTAGGAGACGGAACTAAAGCACATTTATACTCATAAGACCGTCTTTGCGTGTATTTGTAATGACATGTTAAGATTTTAAAGAATATTTTCAGTTTTAAATGTGTCATTTAATTTAGATTTTTGTGTCAGTTTCTCAGTAGTATTCAGAGTGCCAGAGAGGCCGCTTGTGTTCCTCCTGAAGAGCAGGTCAGTAGGTCAAACCTAATTAAATACATACATTTCCTGGTACATCCTTTCAAGGGCTAATTTTTTTGACAGGTGGAAGGCTTTAAAATCCTTCCAGAGAAACATGCTCATGCCCGCGACTGTTATTCTTTTGGTATAATGATGGAGGCTCTTCTTCCCCTCTTAAATGATTACGGTGAGTAGAGATGTTTGAAGAAAATCGGGTGCAGATTGTATAATGTGACTCCCTTTTATTAATTTACCCTGCTCTCTTTTGCTTCCCGTTGTTTCCAGTGTCACAGGAGCTCTCTGACAGTCTGACAAAAACACTGCAGGCAGGCCTGCTGAACTCAGACCCCCTGGCTAGACCCCCACTCAGCTCCTTGCTCGACCATGACTTCTTCAGGTTCATGTTTATCTGTTTACCTCTAATTCTGTCATTTCAGATTGACAACATTGGTTTTAAACTGTTATTATTTTTTGTATGAATAGGAATGACTTCCTGGAAGTGATGAATTTTCTGAAGAGCCTCACTCTGAAGACAGAAGAGGAAAAAAATGAATTCTTCAAGTAATCATTTATTTTTGTCATTCTAATATAGTTTTATGTCTTGGTTAATTAAAGATGCGACTTTTCCTGTTTTTTTTTTCGTTTGTTTTTTTCTTTTCTTTTCAAATTGGCTTTCTTCTTGTCTCAGTTTTTAACTTCTCCAAAGCTCCATCCCTGACCTATCAGGGTTCTCCATTTGCGACTCCTTCACAGAACCACATTTGCACTGAGGATAAATTATACTCTGGTGGACTCTAGTGTTTGTTTATTTCTAAGGATAGTGAATTTTATTTTAGTGGTATAAAAATAAAGACCATATTTTTATTATGTTCAATCTTCCTTCATCACTTAAAACCCTGTAAAATGTCTTCAGGTTTGTTGTTGTAATTTCACCATTGTCAATAAGTTTGAATAAGTTAAACAAGGCATTGCAAATTTGAACACTTGACTCTACTTAGTAGTTTGACATTTTCTGTTTTAATGTTAGGTTTCTCCTCGACCGTGTCCAGAACCTTTCCGAAGAGCTGATAGCTTCACGTCTAGTTCCCAAACTTCTCCATTCTCTTGTTTTTGCTGAACCCATGGCCGTCAAGAGCTTCCTCCCTCATCTGCTAAGACCAAAAAATGGTAATGTGGAAGTTTTTCAACACTGCATCACATAACATGAGAAAAATAGATGTTAACCTGAAGGTACCTCCTTTATCTTAAAGGTTTAGTTAAAATGACTTAAAATACTTTACTTCACCTGTGTGCACAGAGTCCAGCTGTGGTGACAGTGGTGAGAGCTGCCTGTTGTCTGTGTCCCTTCACCGGAAACATGTGATTCCTCTGCTGCTTAAACTCTATAAAGTGAAAGAAGAGCATATTCGGGTTGTGCTCTTGGCTCACATCGACATTTACGCAGAGTTCTTTTCCCATGATGAACTAAAAAACCAGATCCTACCTCAGGTAAAAGTCCAGTTTATTCTTTCACTATATTTGTTTAAACGATCTAGCCCACCAGACCAGATCTTTCAAAAGCATTGATCTCATCTTTAGAAACACTGAAGGCTCTTACAGAGGTCAAAGCATTGTTCTAATTTTCGGATTGTAAGAAAGTTATTGATTTTTCTCTAATTCCAGTCTATTTTTAGTCTTGCTTTTTGTCCACTAATTAAAAGCAAGCACCTTAACCTTTGACAGGCAAACATAACATTAGCACAGAACCAAAACCCCTTAAAAGATATTTTTTATTCCTTAAGATATGGATGGAATTAAGATTTTTGTATTTGTGTGGTTCTTTTATTGTGTGGTCTAATTTAATTTATATCACACCAAATCTTTTATGTCTGCAGCTATGTAGTTTTTTTTTTTTTTTATTTAAAATAAATTTTAAAAAGCAATGTAGTTTTACCTAAGCTATAGATTTAGTTATTGCCATTTATTTTTGGATGGAGCATAGTTTTTAAAAAAAATGACACATTCTTGATGTTCTATATAAATTATTTAGTCTTTACTTTTTCCCCCATATTGGCTGCAGGTTTTGTTGGGAATGAGAGACACCAATGACGCCTTGGTTGCCATGACACTGCAAAGTCTGGCTGTTCTGGTGCCTTTGCTGGGAGCTCAAGTGGTTGTTGGCGGAGACAGAACCAAGGTCTTTAAACGCACCACACCCGGTTTTACCAAGTCTGCAGAGGTCACACCTGAAAGTAAGCAACTTCTAATGTATGAATGATGGTACCATAGTTTGGTTTATTATTCTGATGGTAGTCCATCAGTAGGAATTTATAATAGAATTATAGCATGGTACCTCTGTATATTGCATTCTAAAGAAAAATTTTTTGAATTCTAGATTAAATCTCAGCTTTGTGTGAGTTTGAAGTCAAAGTCTAATGTTGAAATTACTGACTGAAATTAACAGCCCCGCTAATCATACTTCAACTGTATTTCTTAGCTTCACCCAGCCACATAGTTGGAAGCTCCAAATCTCAGATGATTCAACCTTCCAAAGTTTTAAATATGTTTCCCAAAACATTGGGGACCGAAGGCTCAGTCCTCAGTCAAATGGGAAACTTGACAGACACACAAGAGAAGCCAAGAATTGCCCCATCATCTTGTAAGACCCTTTAAACGTAAAAAAAAAAAAAAAAGGGGGGGGGTTTAGTGTTTTGTAACTGAAATTTACTAGCTACTTTCTTTTTTCAGATTCAAGTCGAAACCTGTCTTTACCATTAAATGGCTTTCATCAGGATAATAAAAGAAAGGAAATGTTCCTGGGCCCAGAGCAGGCTAACAGACTAGAGGGCGCTGTGGACGAATGGCCAGACTGGAGTGAAAATGAGGTGGGGGGAAATAGAAACACGCAGTCTGTCCACATTCAGATTCAGGCATCAAAGGGAGTCGATGGCGTTAGCAACAGATTACCCACTGAAAATGCAGAGGAAGAACCTTGGGATGACATAGAGGACCCTGAACCTGCCTCAGATTTCTCCCCTACGGCTCCTTCTGCAGATTCAGAAATTCTTGCACCTTCCAGAGGAAGCACCTCTACAGCTGCAGATCAAACTCCTGAAGCATTGCCTCTGAAATCTTCTAGACCCCTAAAACTGACTTCAGCGCCTCGTCAGATGACAGAGAGCAAGAACTCTGACTCATGGAACAATGACTGGAGTCAACAGGACTTCCAGAAAACTGTCAACCCATCAGTCCCAGTGTCCAAATCTGGAGTGCCAATAAAGGGTGAGAGGACAGGTCTGGGGGATGAGTTCACCATTAAGGTTAAGAAGAAGATGGAGCAGGACCCAGAGATGGATCTGTTTGCAGACATGGTTCCGGACATCAAGTTATCTTCTACCACCCTACTGCTTCTAGAGAAAAGTGTCGCAGGACCTTCTGTAGACCTTTCAGAGAAAACACTAGAGGTCGACTCATGCATTGATACCGTAACACTTACTGCCAAGTTTGCAGCAGCTAACCCTTCTGAGGTAAGTTTTTCCAATTTCATTGCTTATATTTATGGTCAAATAACAATGGAGACATTTTTAAGTAAAAAAAAAACTAAATAATGTGGATATCTAGTAGTCATTAGGTTATGTTGGGCATTAACAAGTAACTGATTTATTCCAAAGTTACCTCTTAATGATCGTCATTCACCTATTCCGGTTTTGGTCCCTTTAAGGCTGAAGCGGATGGCTGGGGAGACGGAGATGACCTTAACTGGGAGGATGAGAATGCCTGGTGATGTTTAACAAAACCTTTATCTGGAGCCAAACCTTCCAACCTTTGGAGATCTTTGATCCATGAACTGCATCTGGAGTTACCCAGCAAAGCAGTAAACGTGAAGCTTCTCATGATCAGATGATGGAGTAAAAAGGTTTATGGTTTATAATGGGAATGTACGGCATAATGGCGAAGGACATACAGACTGCTCGATTGTGCTAAATCTGGACAGATGATGCCATTTGTTATTCTTTGCCTGTTGATGTTATGTTGCCTCAATAAGGTTAAAGATCCTAATTAGAGGTATATAGCATTGCTTTCATGTTTTGTTTTTATGTACCAAATCTAAGCTCAAGATAGAAGCTTTAGCAGGACAAATGGTTGCTTCCTAGAGGCTTGCACTTTGAATAAATGTGAAATAGAAAATCTATAATTTATTTGGGCTTTTTGGTTTGTGTTGAAATAAACACTTTACAGCATAAAATATTTCAGTGTCCTTCTAAACATAGCAGACTATATCACAAATGCGAAAGACATGTATACCGCTCACACACATCCACAACAAAATAATTCAGCATTCGCAAAGATCTGTTAACTGTACAGGAACAAACTCTTAAGATTTAAAAAAAAAGGTGACATTTCTAGCTTTTTTGTCTGGCTGATGTGATTTCTGTTATGAGGGTCATCAGATCCTGAAGTTTGGCATCCAGCCATGATGGAGGAGTCGCTGTTGTGTCAGTCTTTCCCTCTATGAGAGCTTGGAGGGCTTTTAAAGAGGTCTGAGCCGTCTGGATGTAGCGGTCATATTCCTCCTCTGCACTCGTCTCTTGTCGCGCTCTCTTGGGGTTTGGCTGGAAGGAATGAAGTAACAGGAAATTGTTTGAAATATTTTGATTGTTTTTTTCAAATCATACTTTAAACACCATACAGATATGGATATAATTACAGTACAGGCTATATGACAAATACGCAACAGATGCAGCAGTTAAGTTTAGTGTCTTAATAGTCTTAAGGATGTTTAGATTTTCTATTTAAGAACAATCTTAAATAGAAAATCTACAGAAAAAGCTACATTACAGAGAATTTAGCTAATTAATAATCATGTTATTACACGGTTGGAAAGCTACAAGGCTAAAAATGTATGGAGCAAACAGTGCTGTCTGAAGGAATTTATCACACTATCAGACTTTTCTGCAAAATAAAGCCAGTGGTAAAGCTGTCTTGTTTAGGTAAACATTCAAGCTTCTCCTTTTAACAATGTCTGTGTCAAGACTGTAAAGACACAAAACGCATATTCAGCTCGATCAACTGTAAAATAATGATTAAAGCCTTGACATATGTACATAAGAAGAAATATTACAGTAAGGCATTGTTGAACGAATATAATTATGAAAAAGGCAACTAATAAAATGAAGAACAGAACCATACCATCAATAAGAATATATGTTCGACAGAGCTAGAGGTGGATCTTAATTAGTCAGAAAGCTGTTTCTTTATGCAAACATCTGCTGCAGGTACCTTTTAGAATAACTGACCATTTCCTACTTCTCAAACCCAGTGGTGAGGGAGAATGTGAGTGTTCAACCCACCCAGTGTTCAGTCGTTCAATAGTAGCCCAGAAAAATAGGCCACCTTCTCTATATTGGAGGTATTTATTTGCGGTCCACTTAAAATAAGAGCCATACTATTTCCTTGGCTGCCTAAGCAGTGAACAAAGCAGGATATATGTGGTTTCTTGTCCTCATACCAATTTCCTGCATCAAAAAAGGGCAGCTGATAACCTCATATCACAATCTGTGAGTTCAACCCACTACTGCTGTTTTGTTTGCAAACTTTACCAAAGGACAGTCTGAATGTTCATCTGAGTAGCTACATGTCCATAGTCCGACAAGGGGTGGATTTGGCCTGAGGTGAACCATTCTGGGATATTTCCATTCATTTTTAAATGGGTGACGGGATATCAAGGACAGTGTTGAAAAATTAAAGCATTATTTTAAGCAGCAGTAGTTTTTGGGGAGTCTGCTAGCAAAGTTGTACTCCAGATGTGGTAGAAAACTTATTTTGCAACCCACATTCAGCAATATGTGGCTTAAAAACTTATTTGAATAAAACCTAATGACTTTTATAACGCTTTCTGAATAGGTTGCTTTGTAAAATCAACTCTCATCAGAGCCTAAACATTCACAACAAATTTTCAAGGTTAAATAAGGTACTAAACAAGTAGAGCAAAGGTTAACAAGTGACTTGTGTCAAACTAATGCATGTCAACTTAAAGGTATAGTGGAAGATTTTCACATTTTATTTTTAAAGACCCGCCTTCTCTAATTTAAAAAGTCTGATATTACTTGGCATAGGGTTAGGTGAAAATGGGGACAAGCGTATAGGATGGCCTTACTTAAACACATCACCAGAATGATGGACAATTAGGAGGATTTTAATGAGCCACCTGGAAAAAAGAACATCCTTCACTATACCTTTAGATCCTGTTGTTGAATGTATTACATTTAACCCACTACAAACTAACTGAATATACATATAAAAAGAAGCTTTTGCATATTCAGAATCAATCAATCTGACCTAAATTATGCTGCTAACCTCAGAGTCTTCAGCTGTCCGTATGTTAGAGCCAATGTTTTCGCTCTCCAGCTCCTCGATATGCTTCTTGATCACAGGTTTTTCCTGTTTCAGCCTCTGAAGCCGCAACTCTACATCTTCTTGTGAATTCAGCGTCTTGGGGGAAAAAAGGAAACACCTTTTAATAAAAGACAATCTGTTTGAATAAATCCTCATTCCATTCAATGTTTATATCCCCAACCTTTCTCAGGTAGGCGACCAGTTTGGTCTTTGTTTCTTCCACACACAAACTTTGGGAAATTACCTCTTCATGGTTTGTATTCTGAAGCACAAGAGGGAAAGAATAAAGTTAAATTCTTGGTTAAATAAAGGTGTCAGCGTCTATATTCACTGCCAAAGGTAACCACATCCTTGCCTTTCTGATGCTAAGCAAAGATAACACCTGAAGTCATTACATGTATGTTAGCAGATCACACTTTGTGGACTTACAACACTATGCAAACGTTTTCAGAACTTGATCTTTAACCAACTGCAACACATCTCAACCCTCTTCGTCACATTAATCCGTTTTGCCACTATTAACACTGAACCAGTAAAATGTTTTAAGTTTAAAAAACAAGTGTGTATCAGTTAAGTTTGTGTGATACCTCTGCAAAGTGAGAAAAGGCCTCTAGGGCGTGCTGATGTAGCAGCCAGGACTTGTTAGCCAGAAGGACTCCAAACAGGCTGCTCAGTCTAGGAAGGATCAGGCTCTGTGGGATCCAAATGCGTGAAAAAGGTAAAACCAATAAAGTATTAACTACCTAAAATGGTGTTCCTGTTAGATTACATAAGGACTGGACTAAGAGCTCCCCTTAAACTACTATGAGTAAGGACCTGAGGTAGGAAAACACAAAATAGTTTTATTTCTTGGTAATATTTCTTTAGCTGTAAGCAAAAAGCATCATAAATACCACTAACAAACACTTCAAATTACTGTGTCTAATTAAACAATGCAAGAGTTTAAATATCTATGATTAAATTACTGAATGGGTAACCTTTAGATAACATTGTAATGTGTTGAGATTAAGGCATGGCGATATGGCTTAAAAATCTAATCATAGACTTTTCCCTACAAAATCAGATGAACTTTCATAATAAAATGACAAATATTGCTTTCAAAAACAAAGTTTTTAACCATATCATATTTAACCATATGACCTTAACATATGACCTAAACATAAAGGGTATTGGAATTCAATGTGTTACACATTCTTGTAAAAAAAAAAGTCAACAAATAATAAAAAAGAAACCGTCTGAATGTTTGCAGATGGTTTATCAGTTAAAAATACACTTTTGTCTGATGTCGCTCTGAGCTATAGAAGCCTGGATTAGTTAAAAACTGATTAATAAAATGGACCAATCGCTCAGCAATAGTTGAGATGTGTCTGTACTTTATCACCTGACTGTCTGGAGGAAAAAAAATCTTTCCCAGGGAGGAGAGAAACTCCAGAGCAGCCAGCAGTAGATGATCTGGACTTTTCTCAGAAATCACAGCTTCCAGACACATCAGAGCCTAAAAACAACACCAAGCTGTTAATAGAAAGATTATCCACCTTATAACTCTTTAATGAGCAAGAAATACCATCCCTTTACCTCAGAAATGGTTTCATGCTTGATGTTCTTTACAAGAAAAGCTGTTGCTGACAAAAGCAGCTTTAAAGTATGCTGCAATACTGGGTAGACCTGCAACTGTTGCACATATTTTAGTCTTACAGTCGGCCCATGATTTAGCGTGAATATATGCGTGCTTTAGTTACCTGACTGGGACTCATCCGTGACCACAGCTGTGTGATCATCTTCACTGCAGACAAACACGGTTCCTCATGAGATGACTGCCCCCGAAGCCCGGAAAGAAGAGACCCCAGCGCTGCATTCTGGCAGCAGTCCAGACATAATAAGATAACAATAAAACATTCATTGTTAATATCAAACATCTCCACCCTGTATTGTTTTCCTCCCCATTCTTGGACAACGTAACTGATAGCTGCTGGGTAACAACCTCATGTGAAGACGCAAGGGATTATTAACAGCGTCAATGAAGCACAAATCTGACTTCAAATGAGTAATGGAGCACATAGAATCCAGATGATGAGTAAACTAACGTCTGGAAAAGAAAAAGAGTATTTCCATAGATTCTAATTGTTGAGGATCAAAATATTTCACTTTTGACACACCATATATTGTTTGCGCAAAGGAAAAGAAAAGCTTGGCTACAGCAATACCGTTGGAGTCTAGGAATGTGGTTTCACAGGTACTATCCGTGCCTTGTTGCATACAGCTGACGGCAGAGAACTGTAAGAAATCAGTACATCCCCTTTGGTATCACACAAGATTCTCCTCACCACTTTGCCTACTTGTCCCAGTTTGTATCCTCCATCCTGCCACTCTGTTAGAACCCTTTGCATCAGGCCAGTGGTTTCTGTTGCCACACGGAGACGGACGTCCTGAGAAAGAGCTCTGAGGAGGACGTGATTCCACACCGGAAGATTCTCCTCCTTTGATGGTGGGAACTGTGCAACAAACTCCAGCTAAAATAGTGGAAACATTTTCTGTTATTAGTAATATCGATTGAAGAAACCGAGAAGGTTAAAGTAATGAAGACTCCGCCCAAGAAGAACATCAGATGTGGCCTTTATTTATGTTAACTGTTGACATCATTACAATTCCTGGTATGAGGATACTTCCAGAATCCTTTGCTTGAATTGCCAAGTCTGTCATCTCTAAATAAGTTTTAAAACTGTATCCCCTAAATAAAAAAAAAAAAAAAAAAGATTTGCAATTTGCTGTCCTGAGTTTCCTCCTTTTGTCTTTGTTTATTTTTTTCTTGTCTTTAATTCCCCTGCATAAATAAACTGAGCTTTATAGTATCTTAATATCTTCCTTTCTGTCCAGAAGTCAAATAATTATAATTCAAAGCTGAACTGCAACAGTAGAATTGATTAATACAGTAAGTTTGAACATTTTTTTCTCCGTTTAGCCGTCATGAATTTCCAACTTATTTTCGATTGCAAAATTTTAGACATCAAAATGAGAGTATCTAAGTCACACATCGGACTATAAATGATACATGAGTATAAAGGATTTGTTTTTGGTTTTTAATGTCATAATTTTGAGTGAAAATTTGTGAAGTTCATTTCTAAAAGCTCCAAATCTGTAACCAAAATCAACTCACCCACTGTTATCCAACGACATTAAACAAGTAAATATGCGCATAGGCGATATAGTAAATGCATCACCAACTACTTAACATCTGTTCGGAGAACGGTCTGGAACATGACATTAAGTACAATCAATCAAAAATGTGTGGTCATGATCTGAAGGAGTAAAGATAAATCTATTCAGTTTCCGGATTTTCATCTGTAAAATACTGTGCCGGGTGTAACTAAGTAACCACGTATCTTGGGCTCATTATCACAGAGAATCTGTCAGATTATGATGATGACGTCTCTAGACGATGTAGAATGTTGTAAGCAAAAGCTAATACCCTTGCTCTTAAATTTGGTGCATGTACTGGTTTTGTAAAAGTGGAACTTTTACAAAACCAGGCATATTGTACCTCTGTCTACACTTCTCAGCTGTGGTCTACAAATAAAAGAAATCCAGCCTGCAAAGGCTACAGGTGGCCTAAAATGATGCTTTGCGGGTACTTTTGAAATGTCCAAGATGGACGAGTGAGTGAGATGTTTGTCACAGCAAGAGTCAATACCTTACATGCTGTTTTATGAAAGTCAATGTATAGTTTTATCTGTAGGTTAAATGCATCTGGCAGTGATATTATCTTGCTACTTACTGACACCAAACATATTGCAATCCGATTCCAGTCTAAGCTGTGGAGACACTGGCATTCCTGTCTCCTTAAATCTATCTAATTGTAACTTGTACTTGTATTGTAATTTTTTACCTGTATTGTTTAATTTTTAATCTATATATTTATTGGACAATGAGTCCGGAATAAAGTCTGTCTGTCTGTCACTTCACAGCAGTTTATCAAATAACAGCTCAGCTTAGTAGTTTCTTGCTATCATCTTTATTATTTTATATAACAATGATACAAGATCTCAGGTTGGCAGTTATGAGATTAGGATTAATTATCTTGTGATGAACCATCAACCTCTTTGCTTTAATAAAAAAATTATTACATGTGATCTTGAGCTCTTTGCTGTGATTTCAGTTTATTTGCTTATATGATATTTAATGTTAATAAAATACCTATTTTGTTGTTGCAGTGAGTTTATATTCATAATAAAACATCTTAACACTTTTTAATGATATTTTAAGGTGGATGTTGATTTTCATGTGCTTTCTTTATTGCTGTCCAATTCTTCAGATTACAACTTTTTCCCCCTTAAATGAAAGAAATGTCAAGATAATTATGACGCCTATGGCCGTGTGAGAACTGTTCCAATCCTCCCACTGAACCTGGATAACAAGAGCTTGAGCCTGTTTTGTTAGGATAACTGCTTCTTTTGATTAACCAAAATACCACGCTTTAATTTTAGACATTATAGGTCAAATGTTTATTTTACTAAAAAAATCATTTAGCCTCCATCTAATGCCCTGAGGTATTGGCTGCATTGCAGATGGAAACAGCAGTCAAAACCAAACTTTGTGGAGATGCCTAGATTGTTTAACAATTTTCTAATTTACCTAAACTATAATGTATCCTCTTTTTTTCCCTAAATAGTTAAAAGATTGGCTTCAAACAGGAAGTCGAAAATTCAACAGCACCACCTTAATGTTCTTTTTAAGCATCCAACCATTTAGCATGTCAGATCCTAATTGGCTCTAACCTGATGATTTGGGGTCATAAGGAAAACCATACGTTTCAGAAGCAATCCCAGATGGACTGACTGGTAACACTCTGTGTTGCAGGATTTCACCTAGAGGAAGGAAAAAAGCAGTTAGGAGGTGATGGAGAGTCAGAATACAGATATGAAAACCAACACAAAGCAGAAGCAGCCGCATTGCTCTGACATACTTTGTACTCTCAGATATCTTCAAAATTACCAAGCATATGTGTCCCAATCATTTACATAGAAACAGTGGTATAAAATCCAAACTCATAGCATGAGCTGTGCTCCTAAATACACCTGAGAAATAATGGGTTTACCCTCACAAGCATAAAACAACAATAGTTATCCAAGTTGTGCGCTTATTCCTTTCTTGAAGTATCCTTTGCAACAACTAGTGGAACACATATAAATGGATACAAGACACTACAGAGTTCTAGAGTGGTGTGGAGGCCTGTTCTATGGTTTGTTGAATCCTGCCTCTCTGCTTGGCAGTCTGATGATTTTTGGTGATTTCCAAGGAAATGGGACTTGAGTGATGGGAATGTGAAAGATGTAAAGTCTTTTTTTAAGGTCAGAAGCTGAGGCTAAACCTCAAGTTCCAGTGAAAGAGGGTCCTTAATACTAATATGCATTGGGACTATGTGGGAATATTTCAGGATTGCACCCTTTCTAATTAAACATGACATCTAACCAGCAAAAAATGTAAGTTCAATCCAAAGTTGGTTGAGGGAGATATGTTTGGGTGAACTTGACTGGCCTACACAGATTTCTTGGAGTGGAAGCTAAGCAGAACGAAAATATAAATAAAGACCTTCAGAGCCAGTCATCTTAGAAGAACTAAAGCCGGTAAAGCTGCAAATAGTAGACCAATTTTAAAAATTAAAACTTGAGCCTTAAAATATGAATATTAAAAAAGGTTGTGTGTGAATAAAATAACATTTCAGTGCTTGTGTCCAAATTGTTTTTACTTACCATCTGAGCAATAAGGAGGACATGATGCAGGCAGAGTTCTGCTGTTCCATATCTGCAAATATACATTAAATTCAGCACCAAAAATGTAAAAAAAAAATTACAGTAACTGTTGCTAAGACCTGAAAAAGTGCATTACTTAAAGGCAGTCTCAACTGTTAAAGGGTGGTAATTACAAATCTGAAGGGTACTTAAATTGTTGGTAAATGGGTTAAATATGAATATGGGTTAAATGCAAAGCGCTATTTATGGGAAAATCAAGACTAATACAAGAGAAGCAAACAATTATGGTGGAACATGTCTGATAGTTTGAGCCTTCTAGAGGAGAGCATGTGCTTTAATTTTATTATTTCAATTAAGAAACCAAAACGGTATGTTTGCAGCAAAGAACAAAGCATTTCTTTTAATCATTATTAAGGTGTATGGCAAAACCTCAGATTGCATGCAATATATGCAGGACATGACATTATTCTAACTTTGATATGAGACACAAAGAAGTGTTGTACAACTAACCGTGCTGTGAAGCACCACACATCTGCTGCCAACAACGCTGTTGGAGTATCAGCCTGCAGCACAGAATCTACCAAACAACGTTCCTGAAGGAGCAAGATAAAAACATAGGAAATTAGATAAAAGAAAACACAACTAACACTCATCGAGGAGATTAAAAAATATAAAGTTGTGTGAAAATAAACTAAAAGGAAAACTTGCCAGTGTGAAATAAAACAAAGCTGGATCATGGATAGCCAAAGTAAATTTCTAAGTGGAAACCAGTGACAAGCCAAGATTTTGTTTAAGATCAATACTCTTTGTTAATCACTGGACAGATTGCATGGTAGTAAATGTTTAATATAAAGCCCAGTATTTTCTTCCCAGGAAGAAAACACCTGTTTTATGTTTCCCTTCATAATAATCACCTTATTCCATTATTTTAATTTGTTCTTTACATTTAACACATCTCTTGGCAAGCATTTAGCAGCTTAAAGTTGATTTCAAAGTCCCAGCATGCAAATAGAAAGGACAGTTCCATCTAATACCCTACATAGAGTATTAGTAACTCCATGAAAACGCTCATATATTCTGTTTGCCTAATTTAAGAAAGATTTTTTTTTTTTTGTAACTCAACGGACCAGCCACAGTGTTACTTGTTTCAGCACAATCTAAGATGTGGGGCATTTGGGCAACAAAAATGGAGCAGCTCTAGTTATGTTCATCGTTCTCATGTATTGGTGGTTGGGTATACTGGTCTTACCAATACAGGAAAGTAGACTGGAGAGAGCACAGCCACACTGGCACAGAGCTGTACACAGATGTGGTGGTGCAAAGTGACCTCGACCTGGGCCTGCCCCTTTAGCATCACCCCTGGTAACAGCACTGGTATTTTACGCTCAGTATAGCATTGTCGGAAGCTGATAAAGATAGCCTGGTAGAGAGGGAGTCTGGAAAGGAGGGAGAATTCCAAGGAAAATGGTCTGAATGCTTCATTTAGGAAAATTCACTAGAAACATAATCAGACAAAACTGCAAAAGTAGAATTTAAATTATAACAGTAAAATGCTTAAATAATACCAATAAAAACTCATGAATCATCAGTTACTCTGAATCCGTACGAAAAATAATTTATTTCCAGGTACCTTGGTGTGTCTTCTGGGAACAGACTTCCAGGGTGCCAAAGCTGCATCACTTCTTCTGGCTGGCTGAGCAGCTGTCCCATTATGTTCACGAGCAGGAGTAAATGAGGAAGTTCATGTTCAGGACTCAGACCTGCATGAAAGGAGTTGCATGTTATTATGTAGAGATCAGCTGCTGGAGTGCATGCATGCTCCACATTTCTGAGGACGGCTTAATACACACTTAAAATAAAGAACTGGAAAAACTAATACTACTGAAAACAAACTGATTCCGTTTAAACCAGTACAGGAAAAGTGAGGGGACCCTACAGCGTACAGTTGTGTTGTATTGGCTACAGTATTACCAAAATATTTATGAATTTCATTCACAAACATTAATGCATTATGAACTGAATAAACAACAGAAAACTTAACGTCTCTCTACTTCTAGTTTAGACTTAGACTCCACTTCATTGAGTAATAGAAAAGATTTACTGAAAAAGTTGCTTCCAGTCAGGCTTCACCACTGAAAAAAATGAGCTGTAACGTCTTAATGACTTCACCACCAACTTACCACTTTACCTTCCAAAATGATGGCAATGAACTGGAAGTTGATTTACAGTATTTTTTAAAAAGAATGGGAAACTGTAGATTCACCTATTGAAGCAGCAGTAGGGAGTGTTTAGAAAAAGGGTCGTAGCTCGAGAATATGAACAAGCAGTCCATATAGGTCTCCTTGTTCTCTGCAGGACTAAAGCACTCGCTCCACAGTTCCTCCCCGACATACGAATCAGGTGTGAACACACCGAAACATAAATAGTTCTACTGATGATGGAAGATCAACAGCTATTCAGTGGTAGTAAACAAACATCAATGTTGTGCTTCATACTGACACACAGCTGCAGCACAATGACAATCCTGACTCTTATTGGGGTTTTTTGACCAGAGGCAGTATATTTCAACAAAAGGACGGTAAGGTTACAAAGAGGAGGAAAAGGACCTCGATTGTTGCCTGAAAAGTGAAAAGTTGCCTATTGCACCTTTACTAATAGAATAAGTAATAAGTCCACTTGGAAATTATTTGAGTTCAGGTAAATCAAATATATGGTACACATTAAGATTAAAGTGTCAATTCAGTCAAACAATGATGTCTTAAATAAAAAAAGTCCTTTCCCAAATTTGCCCTTTTTGGGGAAACTGACTTTTTTTAATTTTCAATGTTTTGCTATTGGGGTTTAACCCTTTAAAGCCAAGTGTATTTTATTTGATACAGGAGATTTTGAAACCTCTGCATCATCAGTGTCATGTTTTTGTTCTTGAAACCCTGACTTACATAATCAGACACATGTATTGAACACAAAACATATAAAAGATGATATAGAAATGCGTAATATATTAAAATTGATGCAAATAAATGATGTAATTTAATTTTTTTACAAAAGTTATATAGTTTTTTCATTTATCACAAAGTTCAATAACAATTCTAATTTTGGAAAATTAGAATCTTCTGACAATTATTTCCTGGTTCAGGCTTTAAGGGATAAAACTGAATGTTCTTTAAAAATGGCACTTCCTGAAATCCAAACTTACACAGGTCTGGCTGCAGTACTACTTCAGCAAAAGGCCTTAGAGGTAACAGCTGGAGTACGAAAGCATCCATAGGAATCAGAACTGATGCAGATATTTCACCAGCTAGAGCTGCTGGCAGAGACGGAGCACATAAACTTGGAGGGAGCTTACTGAAACACACAAAGCTCATCATAAGAACAAATAAAAAAGGAATCAAATGGAGAATGTTTAAAAGATAAATCTCACTTTTAAGTTGAGACTGAAACCATTTTTACCTGATTATCTGGAGGTAAAGTTGGTGAAAACAGCTGGATTTTTTTGTCAGAAAATATTTAAATTCCTGTAAACCACATAAAGAAGATCAACAAAAATTTCATTAGTGCCACAAAATGAATTTCTAAGTAGTAAAAATCTTACAAAGGGTTACGAAAAGATCAGTTGTACCTTTATGTAATGAACCAACGTGTTAGCAAAGAATCTGGACATCTTTGCAGTTTTCTGGAAAAGCTTGTACTCTGTACTCTGGACAGACTCCTATAATCCAAAGCAGGCAGATGTTAAAAATACACAAAAAGAGGCATATCTTTAAGACAATACTACTCAGAATTAGTTAAGTACTTTCTCTGCAGACAGAAACTTTATATAATAAGATTTTTTATTTATTTAAGATGGTGCTGGAGTCTATTGGCTCTTTAATTGACAGTTTAATCATATGGAAATGGTATACATTATTGATGATGTCAAATTCCTAACGATATACTATATTGCCAAAAGTATTCCCTCACCTGCCTTGACTTGCATATGAGCTTCAGTGACATCCCATTCCTAATCCATAGGGTTTTAAAATGACATTGATCCACCCTTAACCATTAGAACAGTTTTAAGGCTGTCCACAAGGCTTAGGAGTCTGTTTATAGAAATGTTTGACCATTCTTCCATTTGTCAGGTCACTCACTGATGTCGGACAAGAAGGCCTCGCTCAGAGTGTCTGCTCTAATTCACCTCAAACTTGTTCCATCAGGTAGAGGTCAGGAATGTACATGAAAATCAATTCATCATCATCGAACTATGCCATCCATGTCTGTATGGGCCTTGCTCTGTGCTCTGGTGCAAAGTCATTTTGGAGGAGAAAAGGGCCAGCTCCAAACTGTTTCCATCAATTTGGGAGCTGAAATGCCTTGGTATGCTGAAGCATTCAGTTTCTTTAACTGAAACTAAGAGCCCAAGACCACCTTCTGAAAAACAACCCTACAACACAATTCCGCCTCCACCACACTTGGAACAACACAGCCTGACAAATACCGTTGACCAGGCAACACCAAACCCAGGCTGCTCCATCAGATATCCAAATGGAGAAGTGTGATTTGTAACTTCAGCAAGCGTCTCCATTGCTCTGGAGTTCAGTGGTAGTGTTCTCTACTCCACTGCATCCAAAACTTTGGTTAAACCTGGTTATGTATGGCTTGGAAACAGCTGCTCGACCAAGAAACCCCATTCTATGAAGCTCTTTGCACACCGCTCTTAAGCTCATCACATGAGGTTTGGACGCGTGTAGTGATTGACTCTGTAGAAAGTTGGTAAACTCTTCGCAATATGAGCTTCGACATCAATCAATCCTGCTCTACAGTTCATGTGGCCTTTCACTTTGTAGCAGTTTCTATTATCCCCAAGCACCCCCATTTTCTTATGATACAGCTGGTGGCTGACTGTGGAATATTTAGGAGCGAGGAGATTTCAGGGCTGGATTTGTTGCTCAGGTGGTATCCTATCACAGCTACATGCTGGAATTCCCTGAGCTCCTGACAGATACCCATTATTTTTACAATGTTTTGCTAAAACGGTTCGCATGCCTATGTGCTTAATTCTATACACCTGTGGCCATTTCATCGATTGGAAAACCTGATTCCAATAATTTAGATGGGTGACCAAATACTTTTGACATATAAAGTATAAAATAATACCAGTGACTACAGATGACAGATGAGCTGACATGATTTCTAGTCACAACTACTGTGGTTAAGAAAAAGAGACATCTTGTATCTGTGTCAAGTTTTTGTGCTAAGGGACTGAAAAATACTTTTTTTTTTCCATCTCTAGATAAGATTTGTATACGTTTGCTTGTTTAAAGGACTACTTACCCTCAAATCAAGTTTTCATGCTGGTAAAATGTATAAATAGATGTCTTAGAGTGCTGTCTACATGTCCCAGGCATCATTTTGGCAACTCACTCAACATTTTTTGAAACCCTGCTTTTGTTTCTAAAACCATGTTTGGCGTTAATTAGTGACTTAAGAACCTCATTCTTAGCAACTACTGTAGCACTTCTATTAAGCAAAAAAAATGATGCAAAAGTGGCCATGTTGCACAAGTTGGAGCTTTAAATTAAGGACAGTGTACGAATGCCCTAACTTATGATAAATACTTTTATTTAGTTGTGCTTTTACATGCAGTACAAATCAAAAGTTTGGACACACCTTCTCATTCAAAGAGTTTTCTTTATTTTCATGACTATGAAAATTGAAGGTTTACACTGAAGGCATCAGAACTATGAATTAACACATTTGGAATTATATACTTAAAAAAAAGTGTGAAACAACTGAAAATATGTCTTATATTCTAGGTTCCTTAAAGTAACCACCTTTTGCTTTGATTACTGCTTCGTTCACTCTTGGCATTCTCTTGATGAGCTTCAATAGAAACCACCTGAAACGGTCTTCCAACAGCCTTAAAAGAGTTCCAAGATATTCAGGTCGGTGATTGTGGAGGCCAGGTCATCTGCAGCACCCTATCACTCTCCTTCTTGGTCAAATAGCCCTTACACAGCCTGGGGGTGTGTTTGGTGTCCTGTTGAAAAATGAATGATGGTCCAACTAAACGCAAATCTGATGGAATAGCATGCCGCTGCAAGATGCTGTGGTAGCCCCGCTGGTTCAGTATGCCTTCAATTTTGAATAAATCTCCAACAGTGTCACCAGCAAACAGCCCCCACTGACCTGGCATTGACCTGGTCTCTAATCTGAGCTGCTGTTAACCTGCGATATCTGAGGCTGGTGACTCGAAGGAACTTCTCCTCCACAGCAGAGGTGACTCTTGGTCTTCCTTTCCTGGGGCGGTCCTCATGTGAGCCAGTTTCTTTGTAGCGCTTGATGGTTTTTGCGACTGCACTTGGGGACACTTTCAAAGTTTTGCCAATTTGTCAGACTGACTTCATTTCTTAAACTAATGATGGCCACTCATTTTTCTTTATTTAGCAGCTTTTTTCTTGCCATAATACAAATTCTAACAGTCTATTCAGTAGGACGATCAGCTGTGTATCCACCTGACTTCTGCACAACACAACTGATGATACCAACCCCATTTATAAGGCAAGAAATCCCACTTATAAAACCTGACAGGGGACATCTGTGAAGTGAAAAACATTTCAGGTGACTACCTCTTGAAGCTCATCAAGAGAATGCCAAGAGTGTCCGAAGCAGTAATCAAAGCAAAAGATGGCTACTTTGAAGAACCTAGAATATAAGACATATTTTCAGTTGTTTCACACTTTTTTGTTAAGTATATAATTCCACGTGTGTTAATTAATAGTTTTGATGCCTTCAGTGTGAATCTACAATTTTCATATTCATCAGAATCAGAAATACTTTAATAATCCCAGAGGGAAATTACTTTTGTTACACGCTCCAGTTACAGTTTTATATAATATATACACACATCCAACTATACAATATAATAAAGATAAAAAATAAGAATAAAAAGTGATAAAATATATACAAATATAGCTCTTCTGTATATATATCTGTACGTATATCTATGCATATGTAAAAACTAAATCCAAATAAAATGAAAATCCAAGTTAAGTGATAAATCCAAGTAATGATAAATCCAAGTAAACATGAAAATAAAGAAAACTCTTTGAATGAGAAGGTGTGTCCAAACTTTTGGTCTGTACTGTACAGCACAACTAAATATGGTCAAAGTAAAAACACTCAATTTAGAAATAGCTAGTTTGAGGTTTCAAAATATTTAAAGTAGATCTTTCGAACCTGCAAACCTGCCAGCTTGATCTGTTCAGCCATCTCCACACAGCTATGGAAGGAAGCCAGCAAGTTGTCTGACAGGCTGTTGACGATATCCTCATGATGCAGATGTTCCTCCAACAACGACTGGTACTTCAGACTCTGTCTGAACATGAAAATTTCACATTTTCCAAACAAATTTAGATGAAGATATCACCATTATCATGCACAACATGTCCATTACCCTTCTTCACTTTAGGACATGGTTTAATCAAAAACACCATTGTATTTTGGGGGGATTCTAGCTGACAGACCAAAATAAAATATAACATAAGTGAAAAAAAATGGCTAATGGTTTTCCATAAGAGGGCTACTACTACATCTGACCTTTGTCAAAAGAACAAGGAAAAAGCTGTTGTTGAAAGAAAGTCATTTATGGTCCCATTAAAAGTTGGTAGCAATTCATGTAGGAGACGCAGCAAACAGAAAAGTATGTCTGGTATGTGGGAGAAAACTATCATTTTAAGGCAGTATAGTGGACCCCCATCAACAAATAAATCAAAACATGTTAGCCAGTCAGAGCTTAATGACATTCTTCATTAGCTAGGACCATAAAGCTGGTTGCAGTTGATGAGAACATGGCTTATACTAGACACAGGGCCACAGCACCTGTTGAACACTATAGAGTTGAAACCTTCAAGCTGCAAAACAACTTTAAACATACAGCCAGAGGAACAATCTGACGGTTCAAATTAAATCACAATCGTGTTGAAATGGCCCAAAAAAAAAAGAATCAGTAGAAGAAAATGATGTTGTTAGACACTCTTCATCTAATAAGACTGAGCTTGAGCTATTTTGCAAAGAATGATGGGAATAAATTTCAGTCTCCAGAAAGAAATCTGAACTGTAATTGCAGCTATTGTTCTAATGATTAAAATGCATGCCCAAAAGTGTTTATTTCCAAAATATTTGTATGCATAGTCATCCCCCTTTACAATAGTGATTTATTTTAAGTTCGTATGTCACAACCACAATAGAAAAATACATAAAACAAGCAAAAAACACAAGTATGTGTCTGTAATGAAGCATAGTGTAAAGAAGCTTTAAGACCAGAGTGCTCTTTACTGATCACAGCAATAAAGGACTTACTTGATGAGAAACTTCCATGTATTTGCATGCAGCGCTATGTCTAGGTTGGATATAATGGAGCAGATGTCCAGAAGACTGTGAATCACTGTAAAATAATATTCTCAGTGAGCATCAAACTCCAAAACAACTACAAACAAAAAACGCAAACTTCTACACACCTGTAACGATGTTGGAGACCTCCTCGTCGGATGCGTTACTCTCCAGGGAAATCCTATCCAGGACCTCCAGAAGTCCCTTCTGCAGGGAATAGGCCTCTTTAAAGAGTCCTTGCAGCAGATCAGCCACCAGAGACAGTCGGCCACAGTAAACCATCTCACTATCCTGTGGACAGCTGACAGTCAGCATGTGGAGCTTATTTTATTCCTCATGTTTACACTAACTTTTTGAGAAAATCTAAAAGATATTTAACAACTCTCTACAAAAAATATGTATAATTTTAAACAGAAGTCATAAGCTGGCTATATATATATATATATATATATATATATATATAAATAATAGTTTCATTTGCATAGAAATATGCAAATGAAACTATGCAAAGGTTATTGGGATGCATTGTGCGTTATCACATTTACAGAGAAAACATTGAGCCTCCCATCTTTATCTCTCTCCCAGCATTTTTAACAGGAAAAGGAAAGTCCAATATCTTTTCCTGCATATTTGGCTTTGCCCCATAAACAACATTTTCATCAGAAGGCATTACTGATTTATTTCCCTGCCAGAGGATTAAAACATTACTTTCGGTTTGCCACTGATTTGTTTTCATGGGACCCAAAGTAGTTTAAAAACTTTTTATGGCAAAAGGTTATTCATAACTGAAACTGTTCTGGCGTCTGTTTCAAGAAGCAGGTTTACTGAAAACTAGGAGTTTTCAGTAAACTCCTAAACCTGAATTATGGTCTTTGAGTGTTCAGTTTCACAAAGAGAGTTTACTCAACCTCCATTTCAGCTGCTGTAGTAAGATTCTCCCCAGAGCTAACCTGGTCGGAAGCAGGTTTTCTGCAGTAAACTCGGAGTGTCCTATGTCTCCTTTGAGCCAGTCACATTGTTTTATTTACTGATTCAGTCAGGAGATTTTTGTTGTAGTTTTGCAGTTTACATACAACTACATAGAATAAAGAAATATCATTAACTAGATCCGTTAGGAACGTTAGGTTTTGAAAACAAACATTATGTTCGTTTTAAGAGGATCTTATTTTACTGAATGATCTGCATTATTTCAAAGAGAATTAAATATTGACAGGTAGAGGATTCCTCGACAACTCAGTTGAAAGGGTAAGAGATTTATTTGTTTATGGTTTGTTTAATATAAGCAAAATGCTGATAGTTTTTTATTTGTACGATACATCAATAACAATTGAAATGACTTTAAGATTATACATAAATAGATTCAAGTAATTCCGTGGGGGAACAAGAATTACTTTAGGATTAGGATTCACTCTGTCATAACAACCTACTGAGCCTACTAGCACAATTTGAAACCATTCTATGGGATTGATAACCGCTAATAACGACCATTTATTGGGAAGATAACATCCGAAGCAGCTGCAAACAGCCCCTTAGCATTTACTGTGTGATGGAAGAAATAATTAAATTAAGGAGTAGCAACGTGAGATGATGCACAGGTCGTTTCTATGAGAATAACGTTTTTAGACTTCATTTTCACCAGCTGCCAGGTGATTTCCTCTAAATAGAAAACATTGATCCACGACAATTCAAGAAATAAACCTGTAATGTTATCCTGGTCACTACATCTATGGCAAGCCGTTCTAATATTTATTAGTGTGACTGATTATGTATTTCTGATATCTTGGAAAAACAAGTTTTCCCTTATCAAAATGACCATTTCAAAACAAAATGCCATCCTTCACATCTAGAATAAACATTCTACATGTCTAGAAATTAACTATAGATCTCCATATTCCTATTGTTACTGGTCAGTATTTGAATTATTTTAACTATGAAGAAATAAATATTCAGTCAAGCTGATAATAGTCAGAATGGCCACCTAAAATGTGTAAACATTTCTAGGTGTATAAAACTTAATTGTTACTGGTACAATTTTGTTTTCTTGTTTTCTGAAATTCAATTTCTGCTGCAAAAATAGAATTTAAAACCTATATTATTACAATTCTGACAACAAAATGGAATTCACTCCCAAAATACTATCAAACAACAGAATACTCTCCATGGTTTCAAAACTTCACTTAAGAAATATAACCTTCAAAGAAATTGAAATACTCAATGCTAATTTAATTAAGGAGATACTGTTGTAGGGTTCTTGTTAGGTTTTTCTTTGATATAGATCTATTTGGAGTACCAGTATTTTATTTTAAATATATATAATTTATTTATATTCTTATTGTTATTTTAGTGATCAATGGCATTAAATGTATTTTTTGTGTAAATTTCTTGTGTGTATAGTGTGTAAAGTGATGTAATAAATTGTATGGTCAAATGGAAAATTGGTGAACCCCACGAAGAATAGCTTTTAGCTTATGCTGAAGGTGATTGGAAACCAAATAAAACAAACAAACAAATGTAATTTTAACCAGGAAGAATCTTTTAGAGATCTACAAATGGAACAACACAGAGGAGAGTGCTTTTAATATATGTTAAAATGGCCTGCCATAGACCACTTCATATAAACCTATGGATTAACTCGAGCAGCAATCTTCTCCTTCCCCATTTTACACACCTTTGAAGCTCTAGCTCTGTTTCTTTGTCTTTTAAACACACTCACATAAACTTTTTAAACACCTTAAACAAATCCATTTTTTTTCCATTTCTCCATTAAAATCCATGATGACAGGCAACTTCCTGTTGCTCAAGAGCTCCCAACCTTAGGCTAGATCAGTTTAGATGTTTTGTTAAACCTGCTTCTTGAAATGAACCCCCTGCACACAAGCTTATTTGAACTATAACAAACAAACAATCCTTTACACTCAACGGGCATGTTTTACATCCGTCTGCTCTTATAGACACAATGAGATGAATAAGCAAACCTTGCAGTGCTGAAATGTTTCTCTGAGGACTTTAAGTATGCAAGTTGGTAGCGAACGGATAGCATCCAGACAGGGACCTTCTTCAAATGAGCCGACATGGCGAACGCAAACGGAAAGTACATCGATCACTTGCATCATTGCCTGAAACAGATGACCTTTGTTAAAGTATCAGGCTTAGGAAAGGTTAGTAAGATGACAGATGCACCAAACAACCTGATTGCAATCAGATCAGCATTCTGCCCCATCAGAAGTCCAAATACTAAGAAGGTACATTTTAATTCCAATCATGTTTTATTAAAAGAAAATGCTAATTTGACTTTAGCACACTCTTTTTGGTTTAATTAAAATCACATAAGTTAAGGAAGGCATAAATAATGAACAGCTTATAATCTTGTCTTTTTACTTTGGAATCAAAACTAGGGCTGCAACAACGAATCGATAAAATCGATAAAAATCGACTTTTAAAAGCGTTGGCAACGAATTTCATCATCGATTAGTTGTGTCGCGCGATTAATGCGTCATCCGCCGCCGTCGTCATTGCCGTGGGGCGCCTCCCCCATCCCAACCCTGTTCTCCCGCGGCGCTCCCGCAGGAGTCCCTCTCAGCGCTGCAGTCAGAGCCGCAGGATTGCAAATGAAGCGCGCATGCGCCGGGATTGACGGCACAAATTGATCACAATAATTAAAATAGCCTGCGCTTTGTAAAGCGAAAAAAGTCGTAACATGCAACTTTTGTAAAGACAAATGAACATGGCACGGAAGCACCACTGTTATGACGCAGCACCTGAAAAGAAAACATGCTGGAGCCTTTGATGGCAGTGAAGAGAGCTGATCAGCAGGGTGAGCGACCATGTTTGTTTCGTTTTAAAGTGGGGAAATGTAACGTTAGTTTCTCAGGAAGCTCATCTGATGCTTTCCTTACCTTGTTAGTAGGTTACAGACAGTGATAAGGTTGGCTACTTATTTTACTTTCAATTTCATTTGAATTAGCTTAAGCAGCGTTTATATTTTCTTTATAATAAAATAAACTTGCAATTTATGAGGGCAAGGCTTTTAAAGTTTAAATCTTCTGGCAAAGATAAAGTAAAGAAGATCCTGCAATTTATGGAAGTAAAGCAGAATAAAATCCAGCAAGATCAGTAATATGTCAATTAATTATTACCACATTTCCATGTAAATATCTGTCTTTGGAGAATGTGTTTTTTAGCACCCCTAGTTCTCTCATTTTTATTCCAAATACAATTTATAATTTGAATCACAGGGTTATTTTTTATCTCTATGGTTAAGTATTTTCTCAACTTTAACTGCTATACTTTTACTGCAACTTTAACTGCTATACTTTCCTGTCTTAAAAGGCAGAACTAAAAAATACTAATTTGTTGAAATGGGGGGACCTATTGTTTGAACCCCTTAGGGGCTTTTAAAAACAAAACTACCTGTCTTTTTTGCGCTTTATGAAACAAAGTACCCTATATTTTGTGGATGTACAGCTACATTTCTCATGTAAGTTTGCGTAGTTTTAACACAAACATTTATTTTTCATATTGCACCAGTACAGTTAATGAGCAACCTGTACTTGTGTGCTTGTTTGTTCTGTCTAAAATGTTTATTTTGGAATAAAGAGGTTAATATAAAAAATATTTTTTGTCCGATTCATCGATTAATCGAAAAAATAATCGGCCGATTCATCGATTTTTTAAATAATCGTTAGTTGCAGCCCTAATCAAAACTACAACATCCATCATAGAAAGTGTGGCACATTATCTTAGAAGTGATATTAAAAAAAAAACTAAATCAGTCTGAATCGGTAGGTCAGGTCTTAAAAAAAAAAAAGTATTTAACAGGAGAAAAACATATAGATGCTTCCCAAGTCCGAATTAGGACATTGTATAGAAAGCATGAGGTTAAAACATGATTTTGAATCAGACAGTGTATCTTTACCTGTAGAATGTTCCTGAAAAAAGCACACAGCTCAGTGTTTTGACTTGAAAGCTCGCCAACTTGATTCATAATTTCCTTTATCATAGTGTCGTACATCATCACTGCCTGCAAACATTTGTGTAAGACAACAAGAGAACATAACTCAAAACAAACACGATCGTTACACTTTTTGAGATGTATTGTTAATAAATTGGAGGATAAGACAAGTCTATTCAAAACAGCCTGATACAATGAGAAGACATTTAAAAAAAATGTCCAGGAGAAAAAGATTCTGCCATGCCTATCGGCCAAGTCAGCTAAAGCTCATATGAAATCATCTGTTAACTTAGCCAGTTAACATAATGGTAAACTAAATGGCTAATTCATAGCATTTAGTGGCATTAATTTCAAACAATATAATAACATAAATATTTGGCCTCCTGTCTATAGCAAACAGATTATATTGATTTAATTGTTTAAATTAGTTTTGATACTAAATCTATGGCAAATATAGACATTTAATTTACCTTTGGTAGGATCTTGGAAAAGCAGTCCTCTTCGAGCTGCGGTAGACCAATGTGTGGCAAGAAAATCTCTGTAATTATCTTCAGTATGCCTGTGTGGAGGTTTATTTAACATTACAGGCGGTTCATGGTACAAAGAAGAATGGACATAATAGCAAATGTAAAAAACGTAGAAAAAAGAATACTACTCACGTAGATGATCATTCCAGCTATCTGACTCATAATGCAAGGAGTAGAAACAGTCAAGAAAAAGCTCATTATTAAAAGCTGTATTCACTCTAAAATGATATCATGTGAAAATACATACTGGAAATGCATACATTAAAAAAACATATAGCTATTTATATTGAGAATCTGGATTGAAAAATTTTTTTTTTCCAATCTGAATTAATTTCATTTTTAAAGCATATAGTATAATTTAATTATCCCCTATTACATCATATTAGGAATTTATTTTGTAGGCCACTATTACCCATCTAACAACTCTAATAAGGAAGATCAGTCATGTGTAGGATCCTATGCTGTGCAGATTTTAAATAATGAAATGTTAGGTGTGTATTTGATGTGCACAGCACCACTTAAATTTTTTTTATGAAATCATCAATACTGAAATACGTATTATATACTTGTACTGATTTTTTTTTTTATATCATACCCTTTTATATAAAAAGCACTTATAAAATTACAAAGGTCATCAAAGTGCTGTGCATACAATTAAAAGCAACAGTAAGTAAAATAATTAATACTTTAAAAGTAATTAACAGAAGATAAAAATAATATTAGATCAAATAAAAATAGGGTCAAGCTTCACCAATCAAATGTGTTTTAAGAAGACATGGGTGGTATTTCTCCATATATGTCAGGGCTGCTGGTCAATATAGATTAAAATAAAGCACAAAAACAACTTTAAGGGTATTTTTTACAAAGTTAATCTATTCTAAGTTTCAGTTCAAGTTTATACTCTCATCAACAGAAGCGTACACAATGTGGTGTTTGGACGAGTCACTGAGTCATCATCAGAGGAAACACAACTGGCCTGAGGATTAAATGAGGTCTGGGAGGATATTGTAAGCTTTGGGAGGACAGACTTGAGCTCCTGGCGACAGGTTTCCTGACTCCACTGCACCACCTCATCCAGTAAAGACGTGTTGCTCTGGGACATGATGATGGGAAATCCACCGGTGTTGGTAAACGCCGCGGGGGAGTCACTAACGGAGGTTTAGATCTATCAACATGTCCTCAGACGAACCTGGAGTTGTTAAAAGTACATTATTCAGAGCTTCAACTAGCGAAAGGCTAGTTGCTGCTAACGTTGGTAACGTTTCAATTTAAAGTAAATGGAAAAATTAAAGTTAGCTTACTGTAAGGGTGGGACTCGTCTGGACGTAGATTAAGTTTTAGTTCCTGTATATTGGTTTCTCCTTACGTTGCACCTTGGATACAAAATGCCGTTAAATTACATTTAATTAATAATAATTTTTAAAAAAGTCAAAGTACAAAAATTGAACCGTTTATTTTGCACAAACAGCCCGCGCGCATCTTATTAACCCGGATATGACGTTTGGAAGTGACGCAGCTCACCACATATTGTGCCGATTGGTTGGAATCAGATGAATAAACCAATTAGAAAAGTGAAAGCGTTTACACCGATGATAAAAGCAACATGCCAAGATGAGAACAATAATTTGTCTAAAAGTAGATTCGTGCACTTAAACTATGGTTCTTAAGGTAAATTAGTATTCATCCAGTGTAAAAAAAAAAAAAAAAAAAAAAGATGTCTTGGCCAAGATAAAGTGACACATTTATTTATGTAGGCCTTAAAAAAAAAACATTAAGTGCTACAGTTGCATACACTATTCATTAGATTAATATATAGTTAATTGGTTTTATTTAAGAAAATAAAAAAGAATTTTGGAATTACTTGCAATAAGTAGATAATCAATCAAAGCACAAAGCACTTGGTATGCATGAAATATGGGAGCTTTATATTTTCTTTCAAATAATGAAAAAGCTTAATAGAATACTATCATATTTAAATATATTGAGATGTTCATGTTCCATCAAAAAAATAAAAAAGGGTATATATATATATATATATATATACTGTTTTCTCACCCCTAAAAAAAACCACAAAAAAAACAAAGAAAAAAAACAAAACAAAAAAACAGTATATATATATATATATATACCCTTTTTTTATTTTTTTGATGGAACATGAACATCTCAATATATATATATAGATATATATATATATATATATATATATCTATATATATATATATATATATACCCTTTTTTTAAAAGGATATATATATACACTGCCCTGCTTAGATTAGATTTGTTTTATTCTGATAGTAAATGAGAATGACAAATTTGTATATACCATATTTTATATAAATTATTTTTATGCAATATAAACTCACACACACACTTGACACTCCTGTCAGTTTTGATGTATAGATTTTTTCTTATCTATTTATTTTTCTAAAAAGTTTCAAAAGCAGAGAGGAAGAGAAAAGCAAATTATGTGATATACTTATTTATTTATCTATTTATTTATAACAATTCTTAAATATTATTACTTTTGAACAGGCCAATGACCTTTAGTGTTTGAATGGGAGAACAGTAGTTTTACCACTTACGCCACTAATATTATAACTGCATAAGATATTTTGTGGCACATATTTAGAATAAATGCTCAGTCGGTAGAGCATGAGACTCTTGATCACAGGGTCATGTGTTCAAGCCCCACATTGAGAATCTCCTGTGCCAATCCACAAGTGGTGTCAAGCCGGAGTTTGTATTCTATCTGGGGGGGGGGGCGGGGGGTCCTCCTCAGTCCACTGCTCCCCAAGGGGTAGTGAGTTAATTTCATTGCTCTGTACTTGAGAAAGTGTAATTACAATAAAAAATGCTGGGAAAAAATAAAATGATTAAATGCTTTATCTTCTGCACATTAAAAATATAGCAAAAAATTATTAATTCTTATAAAGTGTTATATTTCATGTTTGTAAGTAACCTTTATATTTAAAACGTTTTCTCTGTCATACATGTACATAAACCTGTTTTTTACAGCCTTTTAAGTCTACATCTGTCCATACCTGACTTTCCCCAGAAGCACAGCATGTGGTTCTCTTTAATATCACTGCACCTGAAGCATGTGAAGAGAGATCTAAAAAACATTCTTTTTTTAACAATCTGAGGTCATTGCTCCTATGTGCATATATCAAGCTCACCCAGCATTATGATTATTTTGCAAATTGATAAATCTGCCGATAATTTTTTCGATTCTGATAGCAAGTTTCCTTAACAAAGATTTTTTAAATTAAATTAAACCAGGTAAAATAGAAACTTTCCACATGAGGAGTTCTGGATAAGGCATATTGACAGACAAAAAAGATTGTTTATCTTAAATGCAAAACATTTAGATATTTTGTTTTTACAATTTTTATATAATTACTAACCCTCTGAGTGGGTCTTAAAAATGTTTTTTACAATGTTTGTTTTGCCATGCAAAGAAACAAGGTTAGGCTATTGGAAAAAACAACACAGATCATTCATGGTAGTGAGTAGTTGTTTTACGCTGAATCTATTTTAATTTATTTAAAAAAAACAGCTTATTTGTTAAAAACTTAACTGTTTTCTCAATAAATTCAGCTTAATTCAGCATAAAACATTTCTACAAAACAAGGAAACTCCCCAGTTCTGATTAATGCATTCATTACTTGAATAAGAGGAATTTAAAAAGCATTTTAAAAGTTTATAAGCTACTATATTAACCTCCATAGGATTTATCTTGTTTAATGTAAATATCAGCTCACCTGAGATCAAAGACAAGGTGCACAACTGCATATGCAAATGCAAAACATTTATATATTTTGTTTTTACAATTTTTATATAATTACTAACCCTCTGAGTGGGCCTTAAAAATATTTCTTACAATGTTTGTTTTGCCATGCAAAGAAACAAGGTTAGGCTATTGGAAAAAACAACACAGATCATTCATGGTACTGAGTAGTTGTTTTACACTATATCTATTTTAATTTATTTAAAAAAACTGCTTATTTGTTAAAAACTTAACTGTTTTCTCAATAAATTCAACTTAATTCAGCATAAAACATTTCTACAAAACAAGGAAACTCCCCAGTTCTGATTAATGCATTCATTCCTTGAATAAGAGGAATTTAAAAAGCAGTTTGAAAGTTTATAAGCTACTATATTAACCTCCATAGGATTTATCTTGTTTAATGTAAATATCAGCTCACCTGAGATCAAAGACAAGGTGCACATCAGTACTAGACTTGTTAAAGATACCAGTGAGCTCTTAGCCAGACAAGAAAATAATGTTTTCAAAATGTTATTTTTACTTAATTCATTCCCTATGAGGGACTTTTCCCACATGTAGTATTATTCTCATGTTTTATGCAGGACCAAACAAAGAACACCTTCTTATTAATTAAGCAGGAAATACAACACATAAATAGTAGTTACATGGTTTGATGTAAATTATTGATAACGCTTAAATTTATGATGTTTAGGCAGATATACTTTTGTCTGTTGTTCAGTTAGGTATGTTACACTGCCTCTCAAAATAGTTTCCATTTCTTAAGTGGATATTGTATAGCAGAACTTCCGTCTTGCATGTGTGTATTAACCACCATAAATCTTATGTTGTTTTTGTGGAATATTCATTCAAAAAAGGTTAATAATGGGACTGCATAAAAAGATTTACTAAGTAGGACCATGTAGGTCAAATAAAGAAATACTTTTTGGGAAATTAAGCAAGGCAAAGGTATTGATTTTACTTTTAAGTCTGGAATCTGACTACAGTGACCTTGTGAAACAATGCCAGCTATTGTTCTGCAGATAAAATCTAGAGCACGGAAATAAACTATGCTACGCATTGATATGGCTTCCCTTCTAGCAGCCAGAGGTGTGAGCAGCAAGCTCCAGGAAGAGACTTACTCTTTGATTGGACAAGTTGACTCCTGAGGCGTCAGTGGTACTATCTGCAGTTTTAGTGGGGGATTATGGCCCACAGAGCATGGCATTGTGCAACTTAGCAAAATCAGATACATTTTCTTAATATAGTACAACGGAAGGTTATTTTACTAGCATTTCCAGCTAGATGACTTCCCACACCACAGAAGATTTTTATCCTTGCTAAATCAATCAATCTATCTATCTATCTATCTATCTATCTATCTGTCTGTCTGTCTGTCTGTCTGTCTGTCTGTCTGTCTGTCTGTCTGTCTGTCTATCATCTATCTATCTAGATTCAGCTCTAAATACCACAGTAAAATCCTATCCTTCACTAGATGATCATTTATCATATTAGAACCTTAGAAACACAAACAGCCCCTCCTCCACCAATGCAGCTAAAGCTTCATCGGGTTTCATTATTCCAGGACTCTTACTGCATTCCGCATCTCATCTTAACCGGTCCGGCAGAAGACCGCCATGTTGAGCCTGGTTCTGCCAGAGGTTTCTTCCCAACCAGGAATTTTTCCTCTCCACTGTCGCTCATCATGGACAGGTTCTCTGAACCTGTGTTATCCAAGCTGGACTTCCATCTTCCAGGTCCCTGAGTAAGCTCTAGTATTAGCCCATGCAGTCCACTGGATCTCCCCATAAAGCTCACCATACAGTCTCCTTAACCAGCAGTCTACAGACTGACCAACTTCATCCATCTCCACTCCACCACCACTTTAAGGCCTGGGGGGGGGGAACAGCCCTATTCTTTGCTCCTGCTCATCCATATCGATAAAAAAAATAAGCTTTGTGTTTCCTGCCGAGGTCTGAGTGCCACAGAGTAGTTGTGTCAATAAATTTCTTCTAATTGTCTTTTCTCTTCATGTGAGGGATTATTTTTTTTTTTTTTTACCAGCCACTACTATTAAGGACTCAGGTTTAAATGTAGTTATTGTAAAATGTGTAAAACATGCCTAACCCTAAATAGAAATTAAGGGATAGGCATGTTTTGGTTAAGATTAGGGTAAGATTCAAAGATAGGCCATACCAATGCATAGGAAATGAAAAGAAGTCAATTGAAAGTCCCTGTAAGGAGAGCAGGACATAACATAAATCAGCTTGAGATCTGTAAAAAAGCTGTTTGTGCAAATTTGCTAGCGTTTTCTTACAGTAAAAATAGAATATAAATGAAAATGAATGTGTGATGTAACAGAATAATGAATGTATCATAAACGCCCTGAGATATGTTCTGTTCCAGACATGACCAATCCTTTTTATGGTTCCTTTCTTGTTATGTTTTTTGTTTTTTTAACATTACGTAAAAAAATTTGTCAACTTAGTCTTTATGATAATTAAGCTATTTTCTAGGAAACGGCTGGGTTCTGAATGGCTCAAGAATGCAGCCTTCAACTCTGACCAGATTGTGTAAAGGTTATCGCTTGGTAGGAAACTGACTCAGGAATTGGATACAAAGTGGGAGGAAGATCTCTGTTATTCTTTCATTTTTTTTTTTACACACTGGCTGGTAGAACACAGCCAAGAAAGTGTTTACTTTGAGTGTCCTGATGAAGGTCAAGTGCAACAGAGCAGAGTTAATGGCTGTTTGGCAAGAGGAGCTAAATTTGTCCTATTCTGGAGAGGTTTAACATGCCAGTGTGTTCAAAATGTTTTCTTTTACTGTATTTAATTTCACATAGGGGAAATCCCTGAGCCAGCAACCTGGGATTGTAATAAATGCTTCTGTATGAGGCAGGCCTTTGAACCCAAACAAAAAGGAACAGCTGAACAAAAAAGTTAAAGTTAAAGTTAAAAGTTAAACAAAAGCTTTTTTTATCATTATGAAATTTTCAAAAGAGCAAAAAATTCAGTATGCTTTTTGACCAATCACAGATAAATTATATATTCATACAACAGGCGTCTACAACGCTGTGGTAGAGTCTGTAATGTCCCTATGATTTCCATTTTCAGCAGACATAATTTAAAATCCTTTCACCTACAAATTGTCGCTAATGTATGCAGTTTTGCAATATAGGTATGTGACAGAGTAGGACTTTTTTGTTAGGGGGGCCAGAGATGAGCAAGGTAATCTTAGGACACAGACATGAGCATAAATTTGTTTTCCAATTCTTACCAGGCTTACTTTCAGTAACATTTTGCACTAGTAACTTTATTTGTATGTGACAAGAATTTTATCTAAGTTAGAGAATTCTTACTGAAGTGAATTCTTTGTGTTTTGCACTCTTTCCACCTCTATAGCACCAGCAAATGAACAGGATTGATCTGGTAATGCGACAAACCAATCATCTGGGAAGTAGATCCCCCCGACCCACCCCTGTATTAGGAGTGTCCTCTAAAAGCATCAGTTGAACATTAAAATCTGTAAAGTGTGGCTATACACCCCCCCTACCCCGAGTAATTTATCACTCATCACATATTCTTGGTTAAATTTAAGTTTTGGCCTTTGGGTTTTTTTTTAACTAAACCTTTGCCTAATTTTCTTTTGGAAGGTAAACCTCTGCTCTAGCTCCATACATTTTTCTCTGTCCCTACTAAGAAAAAAAGGAAAAAGATCAAAGCATTATGCTTCCACCACCATGTTTAATTATGGCGATAGCAGGTCATGTTGATGCATAAAGTTATTTATTTATAGCTTTTTCTTTTAGCCCAAAAAATTTCAGAAAACAACATACATTTCTTCCATGTAAACAGAATTAATTGAGTGCAGGACTAGTTTTCCTACTCATAATTTATTACAACTGAGCTGTGGCTCTCTGTAGCCTCCCTGGCATCACCAAATGGACCTCCCAGCTGCTGCTCTCCTTGCCTGCAGGTTTATACTGACAATCATCACTTGGAAAGTTTGATTTTTGAGTGATATATTGAGCAGAGTGATATTAGCTGTTCAAAGTTTGGGTTACTACAGTTCTTTAATCCAATCTTGATTCTAACTTCTTGACCGCTCTGCAACATGCTAGGTGCACTTAATCTCTATCAAACCTCAGACATACACCTTTATACATGGTGAGGTTTATAAAGTTGATGCAAGTTTGAAGATATATGTTGATATAAATTATTATGACCTGCTAAAATCTGTTGAGATTATAAAAATACACCGAGGTTATATACTTTGATTTCATCAGGAGGTTAATCAGCATCTCCCAGACATGAAAGGTTGCAAACAAAATTGAAAGAAAAACTCATTATCTGCCTCTAGCCCGTCAAGCAAACTTTCCCTAAGCGTAACAGGATGTGGCAGTGATTGCAGCTTGCTCATACCTTCCTGTATGGACTTTACCCTTGGCAAACAAACTCCAAATCATATGAAGTGATGCCAAGACAAAGACGGAACATAATATAAGATCAAAAAACATGAGTTGAAAGAAATGTTTAATTTAACAGAAATTAAGAGTGCTTTGTATAAGTATGGGCTTTCGCTGCGAGTTTAATGCTGAATTTAAATTGGATGATAACGGAACACATGGTTTGGAGTCATAGATGAAGGTAGCCATCTCTACAGGAGAAGAGGAGTTATTTTTTGTCATCAGACCAAGTGACCTCGTAGTCACCGAAGACAGTTTTCAGCTTCTCCACAGACACAGAGTGGTCTGCTTTCCCAAATGCCTGCAAAGAAGAATGAAAGTATCAGTATGAAAACAACAGAGAAGGAAATCATTTAAACATCTCTGAACTGAAATGAACTCACAGTTGATTCTCCAAACACCCTGATCTTCTTGTTTTTGTTGTCGTGCTCTATCTTCCCTCCTCCAAGGCATTTGCACTCCATTCCTAAGGCCTCCAGAGCTGGATTGACCTTCTCAAATATGTGATCTGTTAAGAAAACAAATATATATACATGTTTAAACACTAAAGCAAAATAAGCAGCATGTGAAATATGCTTTCTTTTGTGTATTTGTTGAGTATTAAAGTCATAGTCTGCTTTATTCTTTCGGAAATCGTTCCAATTAGTCAGTGTTTTGAGCAATTTGACACTACTCCAGCAGCAAACCTGCCCTTTATGAACTTACTGTGGTACTCTGCACTCTTAGTGCCTCGCACTACGTTTTTCTGCGCATCGCCATCTTTTACTTTCACTCTAAGCAGTATGTATTTAAAGGTCCCTTCGTGATCAATCTCAACGTCGGGAATTTTTGCAAGAGCCTCTGCCATTGTGGCTGCTGCTCTATAAAAGCTACCAGTTAACCTCCAACTGATCACAGATCTGCAGAGAGCACAGAGCATGATCCGTTGGGTTAATTTGGACCACCGCGTCTATTTCCGCTCTTAAAGGGACAGGGCACCGTTTGGCACCGTTGTCGTGAATGCACGTCTGTGACCCCATGTGGCGGAAATAAGAAGCATTACATTCGCACTTAAATATTAAATTTATGCTGTATTAAAGAGGCCATCTTAAAGTTTTGTAATTGTGAATTGCAAAGGAAAACAAAAACATTTATTTATGTCTTTATGGTTTTTTTGTTGTTGTTGTTGTTGTTTATTTTAACCATTTCTACTTAAAAATATCTAAAGGGGTGTACATTTTTATTAAGTACCCTGAGTCAGCTCCGCTAAAAATGCATTTTTTGCTGCAAAGAAACCTGCAAGTTATCTTAGGTACATGTCTACCAGCTTTATGTATCTAGTGACTGAAATTTCTGCATATTATTTCCCCCCACAGTCGCTGAATCAAAGTCAGATTAAACATAGAGTTTCTAAAAACAAATTTTTGAAACCTCGTTACAGATTCTTAATGAGATTCATGTTTGGCTTTGACTGGACTTTTCCTATGCATGGATGTGCTTTAATCTGAAGACTTTTATTGCAGATTTACCTTATCTTTCAGTTATTCTGACCAAAAGCAAACCTCACAGAGGTTTGTATCAGTTTTTAATGTCTGACCTGTCTGGTGTTTTCCATTGTCTTTTCATTATGTTTTAATGCCGTTTGTTCTCTATGTTTTTCTCACAAACCTCAGAGACTAAAATAAACAGAGACAGTTGTACACGTGCAGCATGCTTCACACGTTGGTAAATCACTCTTGGCCATTTGTGCACTTTTGCCATTAGGCCTTAGGGAAATTGATATCACCTAATCTTAGAAACAATTTCAATGACTGATTGCTTTGTTCCACTGCCTCTTTAGTTTTGATTTGCTGTTTCTGATTGGATTTCTGGTCTTTGTTGATCAAAACATGTCATGAATTTGAACCATTATTGGTAATAAAAATGGGAGACTCCACAGCAAAAGCTCAACCCATTCCATTTTATGTATTTAACAAACAAGATTTACTGTGAAGTTCCTTTCAATATCAAATCTATTAATTTATATATTGAAAATTCACAACATATTATCTCAAGGCACTAGAGAAATCCAGATCATACTTTCAGATTTCTAAAATAAGGGAAACCATACTTGCAGGATTCTATCATCAGACATTTGCTTGCATTTTGTTGATGACTCTTCAGCAATCCGTCACACCAAGCATGCATGCAGTGATAGATGAGAGGAAAAGCTTCCTTCTAACAGGAAGCAAGATCCAGCAGAACCAGGCTCAGTGTGAGTGATGTAAAGAATATATTACTTCAATGATGGGTGATGTGTTTAGCCTGCCTAAAAAGTGGTAAGCACAGATACAATAAAGAAAAATTTACATATGTAATACACAACAAAAAGTATTCCCCTATGTTGAAATACAGACTCCCAGAGCAAAGGAGAGAAAGAGAGAGACTGGGGCTTTATTCAGGACCTAGATTTATAAACCTTAATTTCCATTTGTCAGTTGCAACTAGAACATTTATGACCTACAGTAGCTCAAGTTAGAACCAGGCTACCAGGCTATGACACAAATACAAGTTCATGATGTAGTTTTTGGTTCAAAAGCATTTTAAAATACAGTGACCTGCATCTAGACCTTTTAAACCATCTAAACCTGGATGATACTGCTTTAATCTGTCTGGTAGCCCTCGGATTGGCAGAATAAAATGGGAAAAACTAAAAGATCTATTCTCGGGTGGAATGCAATTTTTCCTATACAGAACTTTTTATGTAATATTTTCTGAGTTGTGTTTAAATAAATTCAGCTTTGATATACAATGGTTGAACTGTTATATGTGTCGTTAGGTTCCCATTCTAAACATATAAATGATCTTTATCATGACATTCAAATTGTTTAGGTTGTCTCTCTTTAGGTTTTTGTCATGATGTCTCCATTCATTGTTCCTGGAACTACTGTATGACCCAGTCCCCTGTCTCTGTGTAAAGTCATTTCACGTTGCTGCTACCACAATGTTTCACAGGGAGGAGGATTTTGTTCAGGTTGTTAGCATTATACATACAAGTTAAAACATTCTTTTAGCAATGCTTCCTCTTCTCACGCTTTCAAAAAGGTTGAATTGGTGCACTAATAACAGTTTTCAACACTTTCAGATCCCTATTTGTACAAGAGAATGTAAAAACAAATATATTTTTAATCTGAGTCGGCACTCTCACTCATCCAGTCTTAGACTTATATGCTCGTGGTTTTGGTAGCTTCTCAGGGCTGCTCACAACTTGTTTGGCAAACGTTTTTATAAGTTCTATATGCACAATATGTTTTGCATATTGGCTGCTGTTAGAAATTTTATATCTGATTCTGATAGCTGCAGTTTTACTGTTAGAGATTGTTAGTGCTAGTTTTGTGTTGTAATTTTCTGACAAAGCTTTTGGGATTTTGTTGAAGTGAAAAGTTTATGGTTGTGCAGTTATGGTATGATCATTTATACAGAGAGCAAAATATTTGACTATTGCATGTTAAACCTGTTCCTGAACAATCTTGCCAAGAATTCAAATAAATCTTGCAGCTTTAGGATTTGAGCCAATTACGGAAAAAGTTTTCTGAGGAAGCCACTAATCTACTATCAAGTTGGATCCAAGATGAGCTATTGTCTTTAAATAAACATTTTGAATTTACTTTAGGAAACTTATCGCCAAGCAGCATTGTATGTGTTGTTACTGAGCATCTGTACACTTTGTTTAATGTTCCTGCATAAGTGGATGCCATTTTCAATACGGAAGTTGTAATTACCAATAGGGATACAAATAATCCCGTCCATTCCAAATTACAGCTAGAATTCAGCAGTTTTTCTGTTTTTTTTTGTTTTTTTTTCTTTTGCTCCTTTTCTTTGCCAAAAGAAGATCCTTCAAATACCGGTATATAAAAGAAATGTGTGTGGTGTTTTCCAAAATGAGTGTTTAGTTTATTTTGGTTCTCACAGACAAAAAACAACAGCAGATAAAACAATGCATGCTTGGTTAACTGAAGGCTCTCAATTTCTTTTAAGTAGGTACATGGTTAAGGTATATGTTTTGTCTCTGTGACAGCCTTGAAAACATTTCCAGGGTGTCTCCGTCCTCTCCCCCCTTGTTTGCTGGATTTAGATCCAGCTCCCCTTCCACCCTGAAAGGATTAAGCCGGCACTGGGAAATGGTTTGATACCTCAAGCAAATTTGTAAAAAGGTCCATTGTGTTCAGTTAAACTAAAGCTTAGTATCTGTCCAAAGTGCAGTCCTATGTGAGTTAATCAAAGCCTTGTTAATGTTTTTCCGGTAAAGAGGTTAGGGTTGCGAGGTGTCAAGGAGCAATGGCTAATGTCCAGCACCTTGAGCCAGAGAGGAAGGATGTGAGCTGTCACCAGGAGGAAAAAAGTCAGCCTGTAGGCGCCTCACATTAAACTGCGGCTCTTCTATCCTCCTACTCTATCCTCCTACTCTTTAAAAGATCCTGGGAATCTTTTAAAGAGTCTACATACCTTTTTGCATGATATTCTCATACTGGAAATTCCAATTCATTTTGAATCGTGAAACCTATGTTACAGGTCATGTATTGTCTGTTGGAATACCTTTTTTTACAGCAATTAGTACAAATGAAAGGACTTAAATCAATGGGTAAAATGGGTTTAGTATATATATATATATATATATATATATATATATATATATATATATATATATATATATATATATATATATATGTAGAATGTTTTTTTATATCCTTTTTTTGTACATTTTCACAATCAGACCAACATGTATTCTTCCTGTATGAAGAAGGATTTTTTCTTAATCACAGGAGCCTCCAATAATTATATCTACATTTAGACAGGTATTAACCTAGGTTAAATCTACAGTCATTGAAAAAACATATTAGACCGGCCTTGTTTTCTTTAATTTCTTCTTTTTCATGCACATTACCCAAACAATGCAATGAGCAGAAAAGGAAAACAAGGATGGTCCAATGCAATTTTTCATCCATCTTCTGCTTTTCCCATCAGGGTCATGGTTGGGACGGTGCCTATCTCCAGCAGCTATGGACGAGAGGTGGGGTACAGGTCGACAGTCTGTCTCAGAGCAGCATTATATTTCATGAATGTGAATATAAATATTTCCATCCTACTCAGATAAAGATCGAGGAGCAAATTATTGTCTCAACTGTGACACAGACCCCCCCAAAAAAATTGAAGAAAGAATATCCCTGTTTTAGGTTAGATAAAACTGCTGAAATGTTCTTCTAAGGACTTTGATAAAAAGAAAATTCCTCACAATTTTCATGCTTCTTGAATCTTCAAGTACAGTTTCTTAAAAAAATCCTTGCTAGGAAATTCTAAATCCTAAGTCTCAAAGGGTTTTATAGACAGGAAAACAGCCTGTACAGTTTCTATGCTACCGTATTTAAAACTTTATATTTGTGTTGCTTTTAAAATACTTGTTTTTGCCTTTCTAAATATGTATTGTTTTGTTTTTAAACATCATCTTGATCCAATGATAATTTGTGAATCTATGCTGATGCTGAAATTTATTTTTTATTGTTCGATCTATGAAGTGGTTTAGAATATTAAAATGAAGTGAGCAATTTAACAGTCTTTTACATCCAAGGGAAACAAAAGGATTGCAATCAAAATAGTTTGAAAGACTATCTCAGTGACATAAAATTGACTTTCTTCCCAAAAGTCTGTAAGTTTTGCAGCTATGCACAAACATGTCAGCTATACTAACCAGCACACTGGTTAGTATAGCAAACATGAGGATGTTTGAATAGATTGCGTTTGTAAACACTGGATAAAAGCCAGCATCAACCTTTGACAAGCACTTCCCCACTTAAAGATTTTAATGAAACTGCTGAATGGTTCAAACTGTTGTGCGAGGACAATTGTCCCCACCCTAAAGTCAGCAAAACCAAAGAGCAAAAAGCACAGGACTATAAAAACCTAGACTGCAGAAAGTTTAAATAACCTTGATTCTGTTGAATAAGGATGTTACTGTCAGGCAACACAGAATAAGCCTCCAGAAAATAAGTCCATCCATCCATTTTCTATCACGCTTATCCATGCTGGGGTCACGAAGGGTGCTAGTGCCTATCTCCAGTTGTCTATGGGCAAGAGGCAGGGTACACCCTGGACAGGTGACCAGTCCATCGTAGGGCAACACAGACACAAACAAGACAAACAACCATTCATGCACACATTCACACTAAAGGAGAATTTAGAGAAGCTAATTTACCTAACAGTCATGTTTTTGGACTGTGAGAGGAAGCCAGAGTACCTGGAGAGAACCCACTCATGCACAGGGAGAACAGGGAGAACATGCAAACTCCATACAGAAAGCTCTTGGGCCAGGAATCCAACCCGGAACCTTCTTGCTGCAAGGCAGCAATGCTACCCAATGTTCCGCTGTCATTATCAAAAATCCATGAATGGAAAGAACTTTATGTGGACCTCCAGCTTTTGCTGCTTCTGTACAAAACAGTTTTCTTGTTAATTCATCTTAATTATTGTGCCAAAACTTTCAGACTGGTCAAAACTTTAATGCATCCTTTGCCCAGCCTTCCTTTTATTTGTATTACCATGACTAATCTAACAAAGTTGATTGAAGCAAACATTTCTACCCTAATTATGCAAGACAATTTGGCTGTACCAAACGACCATTGGGAACCTCTACCTATCCTCACCTTCTGTAGAGCAAATGGCCACAGCTGCCCTGAACATGAGACCATGCTTAAGTTTTTTTGTATGGTTATTTTAGTTAGTTAGTATCTTTATTTCTTTTAGCCAGAAAAGTGCTAATCCAAGTTTCCCTTTTAGGACAATAAATATCTGGGTTCAAAAATGTGCTTGAAAACTTCAGAACATTTAAGAAATGTATAAACAAGGAAACCTTAAAGTCTAAATTCAATCTCTGAATGGGAAAATTTTTATTACTGAACAACATTTAAAGTCTGAGAGTTAGAGCATCAACTGTTCAGGATAAAAAGAAAATTTAAGTTTGATGATATTTTATGTGTTTCATCATCCTTAATAGTTTACTGTGCAGTTTAAAGGGCCAGATGCTGTATGTCTTATTCAAAAGCAGCATTTCTGCATTTAATAATGGTTAATAATGTATCAATAGACATCTCCATATATTACATAATCTGATTTAAATTAGTTTTATCTCAATACTTGCAACTTTAAAGACCAATTTTATGGTGTAAAAGTCTTGAAGTAGAGGATAATGCAGTAGGATGGTATTTGTGAGCAAGTTTAGGTATAAATCAAAAACACAGTAAAATAAACTTGTGAAAATGTGACATATAAAATCTTTACTTAAGGCTTAATATCTTTTCTCACAAAAAACAAAAATAAAGAGGCAATGGGTTAGTCAGGTTTCCTAAATATTCAGAAGTGAAAGGAGACGTGAGGTAGGGGAAATTCCAAGGAAATGAAAATAGCTTCCAGGAAACCTGGACTGCATCAGAGTATAGGGTATAAAAACAGGCTCCTCAACACATGAAGCTCAGAGCTCAGGAGAAGCACGAGACTATTTCATCTCTTCAGTCAACACACCTAAAATTGTGAGTTCAGTGGATTTCTTTTCCTTTTTGCTCTAAACAAGTCAGTTATTGATAGTTTGGCATTGCTTTTTATTAATAATTTTTTTCTTTTATTTTGACAGAAATTCATTTTTTGATTATTACAGGAGAGTGATATAAGATGTCTACCTCGCTGATGCAGTTGGTCTGCTTTTCTTTAGGTATGCAAATGTAGCTCAAACAGAATTTCAACCATTTTAAATATATTTTTGTTACATCCTCTTTGACCCATAGTCTAACACCTGTCTCTGGTCTCTGTCATCAGTGCTGTCCATGTGGTCTACTGTATACTGCTGGTCTTACCACGCGTCGAACGACACAATGAACTGGGAATCAGCCAGAAAATGGTGCAGGGAACATTTTACTGACATGGTGGCAATTCAGAACCAAGAGGAGATTGAGCACCTGAAAACTCTGCTGCCCAGGAGGAGAGGCTACTACTGGATTGGGATTCGCAAGGTTAATAATGTCTGGACCTGGGTTGGAACCAACAAACCACTGACAAAAGAGGCAGAAAACTGGGCAACCAATGAACCAAATGGGGACAGGCTGCAAACATCGAGCCAAGCGGAGGATTGTGTTGAGATGTACATTAAAAGGGAGGTGGATGAAGGAAAGTGGAATGATGAGATGTGCTCAAAAAGTAAAACTGCGTTGTGTTATACAGGTGAGCTCTTCATTTAAGATCAGTTTTCCTGATCTTAAGTTGAAAACGTCATTAAAGCTTAAAATCCAAAGAATTTAAAATACGTGTTTTTTGGCAGCGTCCTGTAAAACGGATTCATGCCTCCATGGTGAATGTGTGGAGACCATCAACAGCCACATGTGCAAATGCAATCCAGGTTTTTATGGAGACAAGTGTGAGCAAGGTGAGAAAATGTACTTAGTTTTTTTTATTTTTTTCCAGTTTTGGTTCACGTTGGTATTTACCTTTAAATGCATTTGACTAAATGTATTATGTTCTATTTGTAGTTGTAGAATGTGACAAAGATGCAGTGATCCCCCCCCAAAAAGGAAGGGTTGATTGCATCCATAAGTACGGGAACTTCTCCTATGACTCGCTGTGCCAGTATTCCTGTGAGGAAGGATACCAACCAACTCTGTCAGAACCTCAGAGATGCCTTGCAACAAAGGACTGGTCCAGTCAGGCTCCTACGTGTGAATGTAAGTCTAACTGTAACAGAAAGCAACACAGGAGGAAGCATTTCAACCTTTTCTGAGTTAGTAATAAAGGTTGGTATTCATTTTTTGTCCTGCCGCTTGCAGTGGTTCGGTGTCAGGAACTCTCTGCTCCTGCAAGAGGATCAGTCAATTGTTCTGACCCCCTGGAAAAATTCAGCTATCTTTCAAGCTGCAGCTTTACCTGTGAGGAAGGATACCAACTGGATGATTCCTCCTTCTTTACTCTACAATGTGAATCATCGGGGAAATGGAACACATCAAAGCCATCGTGTGTCGGTACGGCTGCTGATTTTCCACAATTAGAAAAACTTTTAACAATAAAGATCACATTTCTGTCTTTTAGACAAACTGAAAAAGGTTTATTTGACATGTTGTAAAATCGTTTGCTGCTGTCCAGTGCTCTGTACTCACTTTAAATTGAGGCTATTTTGTAAACTTGTGTTTTCAAGAATTGAAAAATATTTCAAAAGCTTATTTCAATTCAAATTTTTTTTTACAGCTGTTCAGTGTCCTGCTCTTCAGGATCCAGACAATGGTTTTATGAGCTGTGAAGACATGACTTTCAGCTATACAAAGTCCTGCAGCTTCAGATGTTCCCCTGGCTATCGCCTTGTGGGACCAAGCAGGGTCACATGCACAGCAGCAGCCGAATGGAGTGAGCAGGTGCCACACTGTGAAGGTGAGAGTTACCTTTAAATATGCGCTCCTTAGAAAAAGACCTGAAGCCGCTTTAAGAATAAGCAGAAAGGTCTTGCATAAAAATTCTATAACTGAATTTTTTTTTTTTCCTTTCCCAATGACAGCCATAACTTGTCAGAATCCGGGAACAGGAGATAATCTGATCCTTCAGTGCATTGAATCACTGAGAGTCAACTCTTCCTGTAATTTCATCTGCGAACCAGGCTTTAAACTGCAGGGAGAGAAAAGCATTCAGTGTTCTGAGGATGGTCAGTGGAGTCATGCTACGCCCACCTGCAAAGGTATGATTATTCAATCATTTAGTGTTTTGTTTCTGTAAAGTTTTCTGTATATAAAATCTTCAGTTTTTCCACTTATCAAATTAAATCTGTTACTGTGTCCTGCAGCTGTCCAGTGTCCCGCCCTCCAGGATTTAGTAAACGGAGTTCTAAACTGTGAAGATGAAACTGAGATGAAATTCAGCTACAGAAAGACCTGTAGCTTCATCTGTGCGCCAGGCTTTAAACTCCAGGGGGCGCAAAGCATTAAATGTTCTGAAGATGGAGAGTGGAGCTTTGCCACACCTTCCTGTGAAGGTATGGATTCCTTATCTTATATACAGCATCAGAAATATGCTGGGATTATTATACTTTTTCATACACCTTGCAAAGTTTAACAGCTTCACTTTTCAATAAAACTATTTTGTAAACCTGTGTTTTCAAAACTGAAATGGTATTAAAGAAAACTTATTGTAACTGAAATGTTTTGCAGCTGTCCAGTGTCCTGCTCTTCAGGATCCAGACAATGGTTTTATGAGCTGCGAGGACAGAAGTTTCAGCTTTACAAAGTCCTGCAGCTTCAGATGTTCCCCTGGCTATCACCTGGTGGGACCAAGCAGGGTCACATGCACAGCAGCAGCTGAATGGAGTGAGCAGGTGCCACACTGTGAAGGTGAGAGTTACCTTTGAGTATGTAATCCGTTTTAAAAAGACCTTAAGCCTCTGGTTTCCTGGTGACACATTAATCAAATCTGCACAGCTTTAAGAAAAAGCAGAAAAGTCTTGCATAACAATATATTCTATAACAATCTTTTTTTTTTTTTTTTTCCCCAATGACAGCCATAACTTGTCAAAATCCGGGAACAGGAGATAATCTGATCCCTCAGTGCAGTGAATCACTGAGAGTCAACTCTTCCTGTAGCTTCAGCTGCGAACCAGGCTTTAAACTGCAGGGAGAGAAAAGCATTCAGTGTTCTGAGGATGGTCAGTGGAGTCATGCCACGCCCACCTGCAAAGGTATGGTTGAATAGTGTTTTGCTTCGGTAATGTTTTCTGTATATAAAATCTTTATATATTTTTTCTTCTCTGGGATATTTTCAGTTTTTCCACATATTAAGTTAAATGTGTTACTGTGTCCTGCAGCTGTCCAGTGTCCCGCCCTCCAGGATTTAGAAAACGGTGTTCTAAACTGTGAAGATAAAACTGAGATGAAATTCAGCTACAGAAAGATCTGTAGCTTCATCTGTGCACCAGGCTTTAAACTCCAGGGGGCGCAAAGCATTAAATGTTCTGAAGATGGAGAGTGGAGCGATGCCACACCTTCCTGTGAAGGTATGGATTACTTATCTTATATACAGCATCAGCAATATGCTGAGACTATTATCTCTTTTTTTTTAACACACCTTTCATAGTTTAACAGCTTCAATTTCCATTAAGACTGTTTTGTAAACCTGTGTTTTCAAGATTGAAAATGTATTAAAAAGCTTATTGTAATTGAAATGTTTTGCAGCTGTCCAGTGTCCTGCTCTTCAGGATCCAGAAAATGGTTTTATGAGCTGCGAGGACAGAAGTTTCAGCTTTACAAAGTCCTGCAGCTTTAGATGTTCTCCTGGCTATCACCTGGTGGGACCAAGCAGGGTCACATGCACAGCAGCAGCTGAATGGAGTGAGCAGGTGCCACACTGTGAAGGTGAGAGTTACCTTTGAGTAAGCACTCCAAAAAAAAAGGAAAATATTTCTTGCCTACATGTGCACTCAATTGTAAGCTTGATTTGTTGTGTTCCATTTTATAACATGATTCCTCCTTATTCCCCAGCTGTCAAGTGCCCTCTTCTTGAAGAGCCTGAAAATGGTCGTATGAATTGCACAGACAGCCTGCAGGCTTTCAACTCTACATGTTCCTTCAGATGCAATCCAGATTTCCTATTAGATGGACACGAGATCCTGACTTGTAATCGTCGTGGCACTTGGACCGAAAAGAAACCCACTTGTCGAGGTAAATAAAACAGAAGATTAAAAAGAGGTTCCCATAAGAGAAAAAAAGTCAATGTTCTAAATATAAAACTGAGTTGATCCTGGGTCAGATTATTCACATTCGGTGGTGTTTCCACAGCTGCTCCAGTTTCTGCCACTGTTGTTACTGGTGGGGTTGCAGCAGGGGGCACCGCCTTAGTATCCGGTCTGTCTCTGGCTATGTGGGTTATGAAAAAACTGAAGCAGAGAGCCTCCAAGTTTGAGCTGAACAGGTAAATGTCGTTTTTTAACAGGTCAAATCAGAAATGTTAAGAATCAATAAACTCATCTTGTTTTCTTCTCATGTTGTTCCTCACAGCAGCTCCGAGGTGGAGGCACCACTCCAGGTCTACAAAAACAGCATCGACAGTCTCATCTAAGCATCAACTTAAAAAAAAAAAAACAACACTTAAAAATAAATTTAACCAAAAAGGATTAAAGTTAGAAGTATGAATTTTCTCCCAATGGGAGTTTAATATAGAACATATTGTTCTACTACACATCAGTATGCTGGAAATCTATTTTATTTTGGCCTTTTTGTGAATGTTGCACAAGATTGTGGGTGAAATTGTGAAATAACTTTCTTATATATATATATTTTTTTTCTTTTTTTTTTTTTCTATACAGTATGTATTTATAGGATCTGTATTTCTACATATTTAATGTAAAAATAATCATAGCTCTTAAGGTCAGCTGCGTCTGTACATGCTTGGGCACATTTTTATATGCAATTAAACCTAATAAATGTGTTAAAAACTGAAAATGTATTCATTATATATCACACATCACCGTGTCCTATATTAGACCAGTTCTGTTTCCATATTAAGCATTAAGGTTTAGCTATCAACAAAAAGTCCTACCATGTATGCTTGCTCAGCAATTATGTCTGTCTCAAACTTTTCCCACACTCTGATCAATGACAGTCATCCTGTTTCTGCCTCTGAACTGACCTCTGTTTCAAAGGGGTAGAAAAATAATACGGGTAAAATCCCCAGGAAGTAAAATGAACTTCTCCAATTGTCTGTTTCACAAATGATCAGCATTCTCTGCAGAGAGGTTGTCATTTGTCAGCAGTTAGGGAGAATGACCAAAGGGTTATAAGTCAAAGTCCCATAGCAAAAACTTTCACTTCTTCAACTAGACCAAACCTGGCCTATTGTTTAACGTGACCTTGACCGCATAAGTCTCTGTCTCCACGACATCAACAACATCTATTTCAGATTACTGTGTCTTGGTCAGCTCAATGGCTTTGCTTTAACACAACTTATTTCACAGAATGTGTTTTCCTTGAGGGTCACAATCCGTCACTTCAGTAGTAGAAGTTCAGGCAGACAGGCATGTTTACCTTTGTTAATTATAAATTATGCAATCAATGTGGTACTATCTTATAAATTGCAATATCTTAATCTGATACCCAAAGAAAAAGAAAAAAATATATTTTATTTTTGTGTCTGATTGAGCATTAATTTTATCTGAGAAACCTAAAAGCTTCACTCTTTATTGGTATGTTGTGAGAGACAGATTCATTTACAGAAACAGAACAAAAACGGCTTATTGCGCAGTAAGGTATTGATGGTTGAAATTTCTGTATTTTTATATCATGAAAATTTTCAAAGCATCTCAGATCCCATTAAATCTGTAACAATAGTTAGACTTTTTAAGCAGAAGATATTCTGATAAAAAATACTTAAATGCAATACGGATTAATTCCTTTAAAGCTATTTAAGCAATTGCCACATGTCTGCAACAGGTTGTAAATAATCTTATTAAGTAATCTTATTAATCTTATTAATGTGGCAGAAAAACCGGAGAGCAGCAAAGCCAAGGGTTGCATTGGCCATAAAGATCCCCATTAAAAAGTGAATAAAGAAAAAAAGACTTAGCTGTAATATATGGACGCACTGCTTATACTGTATATTTCCCATGCACCTTTTTCTTCCTTTGGCACTTTCTTCTTCTCTTTTTGACTATTTGAGCTGATGTAACGAGTAAATTTCTCCACTGTGAGATCAATAAAGTCAACCAATCAATCAACCAAAGATCACTGGTTATTACGGCCCGAAGTCTTTCCTTTGGGTCTTTAAAATCCTTGTTTTACAGCTTCTAATTGGTGCTGATTGGAAGTGGAGGCAGTTGGCCAGGATAAAATCAGATCCAGATGAAGATGCACCATTCTTTCTCACGAAGCTAGCTCATTCTTTCTGTCCCTTTCCCTCTCCTCTCCAACCAGTTATGATTTTTTTGTTAAATAAATCCCATTTTAAGTTATCCCATGCGTTGTGGAGATCATTTTCTAAAATGATCAAATAAAAAATAACAAAGACATCTATGCAGACATAAAGAACAGCATAGGAAGTCGAATGATTTACAGATGACTGTGATAAAAATGTTTTCCTGGTTCCTGGGATTGAAAGCAGTCAAATCAGGAGTCAACAATGAGTTTGGGGATTACGCGATCATGCCGGTAATCAGCGGCACCAGAGTAAATCTAGAGGAAAAAAAATCCATCTCTATTCTATCAAAGAAAAAAAAAACTCATACTAAAACAACCTGACAGACTAAGACAGGGTTATATAACTCAGAAACAGAGAGCCTGAATAATATTTATTTCCTTGTACTTAAAAACAAGAAAATCGACCCTAGAATCAGAAAATGAGTGGAATTCCCCAAAAGATTAATTCAAGTTTAACTAGTCTGATAAATCCTTCGGCACCTCCATTCAGTTCGTATTGTAAACATCCAGCTATTCAACGATGATGCCAGCCAAACTGGCAGAGAGAAAGTATAAAAGTCTTTCTCTGACTTGAAGCTGCACCAAACTAATGGCTGTGGTTTGAGGTTAAACATAACTCGGAAAATTTACTAAAAATCAAGCTGCCACTTACATCAGCAGTTCTGGGTAAGTGAGATCTTATTTTGTTACCGAATGACTTTCCAAAGCTCTTCACTTTTCACCTTATTTTTTTCAAACAGATAATAGCTGCTAACTGAGGATGAAGTGGTTTCTGTTTAGCATCTTAGGTGGGTTTTGGTTATAATACATTGAGGTGTTGATTTAGTATTAGCAATCCTTTAATTTAAATATAATCTGTTTTTAGGTTGGTCCTTTGCTGATGTTAACTTGGGATGGACGTATCACTACTCAACAGATACAATGAACTGGACTGAAGCTAGAAAGTGGTGCCAGACACATTTCACAGACTTAGTGGTGATCCAGAGTGATAAAGAGAATGCATATATTGCTTCCATACTACCCACAAAAGATAGCTCTCCATATTATTGGATTGGTATCACCAAAAAACAAATAAATGAAACCTGGAGTTGGGTTGGGAATAACAGCACATGGGTCGGTAACACGTCATGGGCTGAAAATGAGCCAAACAACAACTTAATAGCAGAGTTCTGTGTTGAGATGTATGTAAAAAGTGGCAATAAACATGGGAAGTGGAATGATGAGAAATGTGCCAACAAAAAATATGCAGTTTGCTACAAAGGTGAGTACAAATTGTTACTTTCATAAATTAAGTTAACAGTAAAATAAAATTGTTGTAATATGGCATCAGAAGCAACAAAGTCAAACTCTTCTCAACAGCTCAGTGTAACCAAACATCATGTGTAAACGGCATGTGCTGGGAGACCATAAACAGCACAACCTGCCTGTGTTATCCTGGCTATGAGGGAGACAAGTGTCAAACAGGTGAGAAGAAAATTACAAGAATTTCCCAGTACAGCGTAAAGATTGGCTCAAGATAATTTGTGCAAAAATAGCAAGTTTTCAAAAGCTCTGTTCTAGAAGGTCACATTCAATCTATCACAGCTCAGGAAGTACAAAATGCCAGAATAAAGCAGATCCCTTTATTGATAACAGTTTAGACAGCTGACCTGTTTGTTATCTGTTGCACACTCTGTCATTAATATTGTTTTTTTACTCACCCTGCATGTTTTCAGAACATTAGACCCAATATCTGTTTCCTTTGTTTCCTTAGGCATACTTAATTAACAAAATATACACACATCGTCAACTATTTCCTTTCAAAAACATTGAACATTCGAAGAACTATCCGATGTTTGGAGTATTATATAACAGTTTTGTGTTTGACCCGCAATTGCTCCCAGGTGTGGAATGCCCCCCTCTGTCTGCACCTGAAAATGGTGACTTTAACTGCTCAGGAGGCATGGCGCACAAATTCAACACAACGTGTCACTTTAAATGCCATCCGGGATTCATCATAAATGGCTCATCTGATGTGACCTGCGAGACCAACAGGATCTGGAGTGATCCTCAACCTGTTTGCTCGGGTGAATGTGCAGTTTTAGACTAATGCAGCATTATTATCAATGCTTAAAATAACAATAAAGGCCTATTTCTGCTATTTCTCCCTACAGGGATTGCATCAACAAAAACTCTTTGTTTGCACATTTTTATTTTATGTTTTTAAGCAGATATTTTCAGTGCAAAACATCTTTATAAGAGATATAACATAACTGCATCTGTGCTGAATTTTCTATTTTTTTTGCACCCTCAGCTGTAAAGTGTCCCCCCCTCTCTCAGCCGGCTAATGGCAGCCATAGCTGCTCCACAGAAAGCCAGATATTTAACTCAACCTGCCACTTTAAATGCCATCTGGGTTTCTTCATGATTGGCTCATCGACTGTGACCTGTGCAGCTAATGGAGACTGGACCGGACCAAGACCCATTTGTGAAAGTAATTGTTTGCAGTTCAAATATTTTGCAGTATTAGAAATTAGTATTAGAAAAAAAATGATTTTATACTTGAAGGCAAAAAAAATCTAAAATACTTTTCCTCCAGGCTATAAAAAGGCTCTTCTGGCTGTAGCAGGGTGTGGGGCCCTCTCTTCACTCGTTTGCATCTGTTTCTGCTGCATGAACTACAGAAGAAGTTAGTGTTTCTCCTTTCATTTTTTTCTAAAATAACAGGTCTTGTGAAAACTTGTAGTATAACTTATTTCTGTGCCTGTTTTCTTCTTCTCACAGGGAAGAAACTTGCTCAAGAAAGATCAGTGTTGAAGTAATAGACTTGTTTAAAACATCTCTACCAATTACTCTGCTTGGTATTCAAACAACCTAAAAAACATTGTGTACCTGTTATCTCTAGGCAGCCTGAAGATGAACCAGGTCCTTCCGATGATGCTAATGGAGAAACAACCAGCAGAAATTCACTTACATCCTAAGAAAATATATTAGTATGCCACCCATGTACTTGTGTGTGTTCAGTGTCAAGCGCTCTGTATGAATAAATGTTTCAGTTTATGTGCATAATCATTTAATATCTTGTACAAAATAGCACTATATTTGTTAAAAAATTAATAAATGTTTTATATCATTAGGTATATGCCAAAGGATTCCTTTTTAAGAGGAAATAGAGTAGCTAGAGAGAAGTAATAAAATTTAAAATCAAGCCATTCTTATTTATTACATATATATAGATATATATATATATATAAAATAAATGGTCTAAAAATGCTACATCATGCTAGTGGGGAAAGATATGCAGCAGAAGGTCTAGACGGTATTTGATCCCATAGACCCCTTTGTGAAAGTCATGTCAAAGTTACTTATCATTCGAATATTTATGGCCAAGTAGCCACAATGCATCGTCACTCAAAGTGAAAAGCTAAAGAACCACACTGCCACACTAGGTGAGTATTCCATATATCAATGTCAGCAAGCAAGACATGTCAAAGGGCAATAAAGATGTAAAGCTGTACTTAGTAGAGTAAAACAGGACAGAAAAATTGTAGTATGGGAGGATACCTCACCTTTTTATAAAAAGATAAATTTCCCACCAGGAAAATCACTTACAAAGAGATTGAGTTTATTAGCATAGATAAATTTAAGGCAAATTAGAAATATAGATTAGATAATCAGCAATATGAAAAGCAATATAAAATGTTCAACCAATTTTTAGAGAAAACAGAGAATTTCAACAAATATTTTTGATCTAAATTATTCTCGCTTTGGAGTCATGTTTAGGATAATTTCCTCATTGAATATCTGACTGGTTTTCTTGCAAAATTGGACTTTATTCAGTTTATGTGCACCACAGGGTTTAGGTTTTTCTTTCACAGTCATGTTTGGTGCTATTTTCAATATAGAATTCTAAATATAAGCCAAAACACTTCATATTTGAGGCAGACTACAAATGTTATTTTAGATTGCTTTTTCTTTGGTCCTCAAATCAAAACTTCCATATAGATATCGGTCCTGCCATTTAATTTTCTTGAAATCATTGTCCTGAAATATTGAGACACCACACATAATTTAATCAATTAATTCAAACTGTTTTATTAGATTCTCAACCATATTTCATTGTTATCAAAATGTTTTTCTGACTTGAGGTGATTGCAATGTTTTTGGATGACCCAGCCAGTGTGTTGTTTTGCATTTGAAGGAGATTCAGTGGGAGGAGCTTAAGATTAAGGGTTGGCAAGACAAATTCCTCAACCTCAGAGACTTATCATGAAACAAAATCATCCAAAACAAAACAGAGAAGACATACAAATAAGTTGTCTTGTTTGATTGTATTAATATTATAATAGTAAGTCATTATCTATTGATTATTCAAAGGTCAAAGTATTAAAATGGCTTAAATGTAGACTAAATTAAGGATGAATACAGGAGGGTCTTTAGGGAACTTTTTATTTCAAACTTTTAAAATGTTTACATTTCCCATTTTTTCCACAGATTCCTTTATTTAAATCACTAAAACAAATAGGTAAATGTAATATCATGCTGATAATCTTAAAGAGGTCAAACAACTACTGGCTACTTTTTAAAACATTTGAAGGTTTCAGGTTTCATCAACAATTTCCTTCTTTTTTGACAAACAACAAAATAACTAAAAGAAAAAAGTTAAATGAAAAAAAGTCAGACTCTTCTTCTAGAAATTGTCCTTTTCTTAAATGGACAACAAATGTCTTGGTTAGATTAAAGTAATATTAGATTTTATTCTGCCTGTGTTATGACAAATGGTGGTCTTTATTTAATAACTTATTCAAGTAAAGTAGAGTTGTGCAATAAAGGCCAAAACATTAAGCAAAGTCTGCATGTCTGTTTAATATTCTTCCCCTTCATCTTCCTCTTCAAAGCTATCAGCTCCAACCTCCTCATAATCCCTCTCCAGAGCAGCCATATCCTCCCTGGCTTCAGAAAATTCACCCTCTTCCATCCCTTCTCCCACATACCAGTGAACAAAGGCCCGCTTGGTGTACATCAGGTCAAACTTGTGGTCAAGTCGAGCCCAGGCCTCTGCTATAGCCGTGGTGTTGCTCAGCATGCACACAGCCCTCTGCATCTTGGCCAGATCTCCCCCAGGAACCTCAGTGGGTGGCTGGTAGTTGATACCCACCTTGAAACCAGTTGGACACCAGTCAACAAACTGGATAGATCGCTTGGTTTTAATTGAGGCAATGGCCGCATTTACATCTTTGGGCACAACGTCACCGCGGTACAGAAGACAGCAAGCCATGTACTTGCCAAGGCGGGGGTCACATTTCACCATCTGGTTGGCAGGCTCAAAGCAAGAGTTTGAGATCTCAGCCACAGTGAGCTGCTCGTGATACGCCTTCTCGGCAGAGATCACTGGGGCATATGTGGCCAGAGGGAAGTGGATGCGAGGATACGGCACCAAGTTGGTCTGAAACTCTGTCAGATCTACATTCAGGGATCCTTCAAAACGAAGAGAGGCTGTAATGGAGGACACAACCTGGCTAATAAGCCTATTCAGATTGGTGTAAGTGGGGCGCCCGATGTCAAGGTTTCTGCGGCAGATATCATAGATTGCCTCATTGTCCACCATAAAGGCACAGTCAGAGTGCTCCAAGGTGGTGTGGGTGGTCAAGACAGAGTTGTACGGCTCCACCACAGCAGTTGACACCTGAGGGGCTGGGTAGATAGAAAACTCTAATTTGGACTTCTTGCCATAGTCCATAGAGAGACGTTCCATAAGCAGGGAAGTAAATCCAGAGCCAGTTCCTCCACCAAAGCTATGGAAAACCAGGAAGCCCTGAAGGCCTGTACACTGATCAGACTGGGGAACAAAGGAAAACACATGTAAAATGTAGTTAAATCTTTTAGAATATGCACAAATGTGATTGCAGTAATGGTCACCAGTCTGCGGATCCTGTCCATAACAAGGTCGATAATCTCTTTTCCAATGGTGTAGTGTCCACGGGCATAGTTGTTGGCAGCATCCTCCTTACCAGTGATTAGCTGCTCAGGGTGAAACAGCTGACGGTAGTTTCCAGTGCGCACTTCATCTAAAGTTAGGACAATCAGGTTTTAGAATACTGGTACTTTTTATTCCCCAACATATTCAGTGATCATTCTTACCAATGACAGTGGGCTCGAGGTCTACAAAAACAGCCCTGGGGACATGCTTTCCAGCTCCAGTCTCACTGAAAAACGTGTTGAAAGAATAATCTCCTCCTCCAATGGTCTTGTCACTGGGCATCTGTCCATCCGGCTGTATCCCATGTTCCAGACAGTAGAGTTCCCAGCAGGCATTACCAATCTGGGCACCAGCTTGTCCTATGTGTACAGAGATGCACTCACGCTGTTGATGCAAAGGGAAAGAAAAAGTAACAGTATTAATGACCTGTTGTTATAATCAAGAAAACTTTGAAATAAAAAAGCCAAGTCTGGCCAGTCCTAAGTTATTCCTCAAAATAAATCTAAGGCCCATAAATCACATGGCTTAGCTGCTCTTTACCTACCAGAGCAAAGGATAAGGGTGCTTTTGTTAACAGATAACAGCATCTGATGACTAAAGTCATTTGACTAGTCAAAGTAGAAGCTTGGAAATTAAAACACAAATAAGTTTCCAGTTAAAAAGTCAGATAATAGAACCCCTTGTGTGCGCAGAATTCCATGTAAATAAATTTCAGTAGCTGGACAGAACACAAGTATGGCTGATTAAAGATAAGCAGTTTCTCTGTTGAAATGAGAGGGCCATAAGGCTTATTAAGCAAGTTTCGTAAAAACCACACAAAGTTTCAGTTTTCATGGAACTCCTAATATTTTGTGCTAAGAGGAAAGGAATGTTGAACTTGAAAGATGCATAAACACATAAATGACTAAACATTGATCTGTTAATGTGCCCTTTTTTTTTTAGATAAAATTCCCAGAATATTACCATTTCAGCTGAACAGTGATGCCTTATTATTCATACTCACCATGTTTCCTGAAGTTGAGGGTTTCGCTGGAGGATGAGAAGGTACAATGTTTTCTCCACAGACAGCTAAGAGTCTGGTGAAAGAGAAAAGCAATGAATGGAAGTAGGCAGCTCAGTTTATATTCATTTGCCATACAAGTGCATACTTCAATCTGATAGGTTAGGCGTCAAGCAACACACAATTCTATTGGTTAAAACTGAAACATGTATTTGACTAGTCAGATCTCCACAGGCTCCTGTGAAAGTAAAGATCTTTGATGTAGGAACATTTTCTTTTGGACTAACTAAACTGACTATTATTGTTAAAAATAAAATAACAAATTCTAATTCCAAACATGTATAGTCAGTGCTACTATTTTTTTAGAATAAGGGATTAGAGAGCATTAATAAAGATAAAAAAATAAAATAAAATTATGATTTTACATTATAGAGTAAATAAATACTTTGTATATTACATATAATTGGAAAGAAATACTATACTGAATGAAAAATTCATGGGACCATAAACATTGTGTCAACTGTTGTGTATCTATTGCACAGTGGCAACAAATAGTCTACAGGAACATGCAGGACATGGATACAAGACAATAAGGCACTGTTTGAATGCTACTAATTCAGTAACCCTAGGTAGGGCTACATGAAAAACCTGTGGTAAACAGGGATGCTTTGAAGCCCACAGTAGGTTTTAGTACAGCTTAAACAGTCACATCACAACTAGAGAACCATAAGATATAACACATAAAGGCCATGGCAAGATACAAGGTCAGATTGGGTACTTGCGTAACATCTACCCCCGTGAGAATCGGTACCAAGCCCTAATTAAGCAAGACAACCGAATTCCAGAATGGCTGACCTAAGAAATAAGATCATGGCTAAATTCAAAGACATCAGCTCTTGAAGTTAGGTGCCTCCAGAGGATCTCTTAGTGAATACAGTACTAAGTTTGCTACAGTGACCATTACAGAAACCACTGAGCTGATATACAGTACAGCATTAGCGTCCCAGATGTAGAATTTACATACCACAGGTAAGTGCCAACCACGAACAGGTCATAAGAAAAGCAGCAACAGCCAAATATCTGAAGTGAGTAGGGCGAGTTCTGAGAAGTCAGCTCAATGGCAAGAACAAAGTCCTGGCTATCAACAGCTACACCTTATCATATACCCCGCTGGGGTAATAAGTTGGCCAAAGGAGGAAATTCAGGACACTGATGTTAAAATAAAAAAGCCTCTCGCCATGCATGGTGGATCCCACAGCAAATCCAGTATCCACAGCCTATACACTACATGCCAGGAAGGAGACAGAGGCCAAGTTAGCATCAGAGCCACTATTGAAGATGAAACATTGAAGCTCCAAGAATACATCAGAAAGACAGCGCCAAGGGATTAAGCACTCAGTGATTATCTTAGACATCAGAAGATGAAAAAGGAGGAACAGGAAGGAAAACCCGTGCATAGGATGTATCACGGACAGATATATCTTCAATGGCTAGAGAGGGCCAGGCTAAAGGACAGCAGAGAAGCACTGATTGTGGGAGTACAGGAGCTGGTATTGAGCACTAGAGGCAAGATCCCAAGTGCTGGCTCTGCAAAGAGGCCCCGAAATAAAAACAGCATCTCACAGAGGCGTATAAGATAGTGGCAGGAAAGGAATACATGGAATGTCATAACCAAGTGGCATAGTGTACAGAAACATCTGTGCAGAATACGAACTGGAGAGCCTAGGTCAAAATAGGAGCCACTTCCAAAGACGATGGAGAATGACAGAGATAAGGTTCTGTGGGACGCCCGGATATAAACAGACAAAATGGTAGTGGCCAACTACAATAGTGAGTCCATTAATAAGCAGCACATCCATGTGGCTATCCCAAATGATGTACAAATCAGGAAAAAAAGAACATAAAAGAACTCTGAAACATCTCATTTCACACATCAGACATCTCAGTTAAGAAGAGCACAGTCCTAGAAACAGCAAAAGTACTGTGATGAACTGTCAAGCTCAACGGCCTTTGGTAGCGGACCTGAACTTAGGCAGTGAGCTTAGGAAGTATGAGCATGCTATATATATATATATATATATATATGTGTTATATTTATACACCTCTACTACTCTCTCACCAATCCCTGACAGAGACTTTAAATGCTGACAAATATAATTAATTGTGCTGTAGCACACAAACATGGACTAAAATTAGATAATCAGAAATAAACATGCAAAAAAGGATTCCATGTTTATTCATTTACAATACAGATGTTTTTTTTTGTGATGAATTTTTGTTGTTTCTCTGATTCTTTTGGAATTTGTTATTATACTTTATGTATTTCATTACCATTTTATGTTGGGTTGTAGCGCTTCACACCTTTCATACCTTGTGTTTAAGGCCATTGCTTAAGTTAGATTAAGGCTAAAGTCTAAATTTCCATTTTGGAAAACGTATCTTTTTTAATCATTTGGATATTTCTAAAGCATTCTTAGCAATTTAACGTTCAATAAAAAAAACAATGCAGAATTGCAGAACCCATCCTTAGACATTGAGTGCAATAGGTTATCATCCTCATTTAGCTAAAGACTGACTAAAATATTAATCAACTTTTTCTTATTTGCTGCAGTTTTTCCAGCTTAATGATAATACCTTTCACAGTATTTTGTGCAACATGGTTTCATTTTCAATTTTCCACAAATAGGGCTATTGCTATTGCAACGGTAAAACAACACCCTAACTTATTTTTGCATGTTTGCATGCAAGTTTGCATGTTTTTCCTACGCATGTATCGGTTCTCCACCAAGAAACTGTCAGGTTGGTTGGAGGTTTGAATTAGACCCAAATGCAGAAACGGAAACGTAAGGTTGTTTCTTGCAGATTTAATAACAAAAGGTGGCAACTGAAGAAAAAATCCACAAACAAAATACAGAAAAACTAAATCCACGAGACATCAGGGAAAACTCACATAAGAAGCCAAAAAACGACGAGAAACCAGGAACAGTAACTGAACAGGAGATGTATAAATGGGAGACTGAACAAAGACCAGTTTAATCAGCAGATTGGGAGCAGGTGTGGACAGAGGAATCAAGAAGGGAGCTATGGGAAGGAGACTGACACAGGCAACAAAAGGAAAACAAGAAATACATTCAATTCAAAAAATTAAACCATTCACAACTAGAACACAAAATGTAAACAGAACCAATAAACTAGAAAACCCAGAAAGACATGAATCAAAGTATAACTGAAAACCCAAAAAGAGAACCTCAACAGAACCAAAATGTGCAGAATCATGACATAAACTGCTTAAGTATGAAATGTTGTGAATATATTTCAGCATCAAACTTTTCCCAACTTTTAATGTGCTATACATACAGCATATCAAAACCTTCTATTGGCAATTGCATCAAAGCACAGGCAAATAAACTGTATTAGCTGAAAAACCTTCATGTTTCTGCTCCACCAAAATAAATAAAAATATCCACCAAGTGTTAAGCATTAGTTGTCATCCATTTTCTCTCATTGTGTCAGATTAATGCATTTATGATATTTTTTCCCCCTTTTTGATTTGTCAATGGAGCAGTTGATCAGGGCCTATCCTAAGATCTCAGCTACCCAATGGATATATTTTAGTGCTCAAATTTGGTGGTCTTTCTGGACTTAAAAAGGCTTTAACTATTGCCAATCACTGTACCTTTTTACACAAATGATGAAATTACAAAATGTCAAAGTGTAATAGCCTGATTTCTATCCTATTTGTCACCCCCAAGACACTGTACCATAGGAGTCCCTCATGGCCCCATTTTGGTGCTTTTGTTTTTCAGTCTATTTATATCAAAGACTTCACCTTAGTTTGTGATGTAAATGTTATAATGTATGCAGAGGATACTGCCTTCTTCACTTATATCAAAAGTGCTGCAAAAGTGGCCATAAGATTAACCTCTTATAACACCTTAAGTGGGGTTAATAATTCAGAATGCATAAAATTCCACCGGTAAAATTTTTACCAGCGGGTGGAGCCATTGCACGCAGCTCCAAGCTGACACCAAAAGTTCCAAACCTCACAGCTCTGAATTTGTTATAGCTAGAGGTCTGAAATTTTCTGCATTTGTGGTTGACATGATGTAGAACAAACAATACAATGAAACCTGCCTTTTCTCAAGAATGACTTATTCAAGAAAGACATATCATTTCCAAGAATAAAAAAATCTACTTTGAATCATGTTCGAACTAATGTAGCTTGGTCTCTGTTTTACTCACTCAATTTTAATTTATATATTCAGAAAGTAGAGTGTGTTAGCTTTCAAATAATGTATTGCACATGTAGTTTGTGCTTACATTCCCTAAATTATTTGCTTTTCCATTTGGGTATGTTGTTTACCCAAAATGAGGTGGCTGTTAAGTGGTCAATGGAGGAATTTGAAAAGGTTGCTGATTTGCTGCAAAGCTCCAGTCTCGCATTAAAGGTATTGTGAAGGATTTTTAAAACATCCGCACTCTCCACTTAAAAAAAAAATGCACGTTTCAGAGCATGCCCTGTTTAAGATGTGCTGTTCTCATAGCTCATTAAAGCTTACTGTCTCCACATACAGCGGGGACTATATAGTTAACTTTATAGCAAACTCAATTTACTGACCGTTCGGACAGAGGATAACTGTTTTGTGCTCCGTTGATCACGTAGCTCCTGCGCCATCTTTTTCATTAGTAGCAGGCCATTGTGACAGCAAATTCCATAATGCTTTGCAAGCTCAGTGCAAAGCATTCTGGGATATACAGTATCTGCCTCTTCTGAGACCTTTCTATTCTTCTTATACACTTCATAGACATTTTTTTTTCTTACAACCCTCGGCCATTTTCAAAGAACTGTGGTGAGAAAAGTGAGGTTCAATGACTGTCTGAAACCGTAGCTCACCGGAGATATACGCCTGACAGTGTGCATGCGCATAAAAAGATAGCTAGCACAATGGGACTGCCTTATGTAGACATATCACCTCAATGATTCACAATTAGGAGGACCACTTATTTAGATGATCCACCCGGAAATAAAAGATCAACCTCTATACCTTTAAATTCAGAAAAGACAGTTGCAATGTTTTATACAAACAGAGATGCAATTCCAAAACCTAAAAA